TAAAAAATTGCCACTAAATCTCACAAATTTTGTGACTGTTGCGTAAAACTACCGCTAAATTTTGCAGTTTTTGTGGTGATTGCAAAAAATCATCATTAAATCCTGTATTTTTTGCAGCGATTATTAAAACTGCATCTAAATGTTATTTTCTACATATTTTATTGACAAGTATTGCTAATTTCTACTAATAAATGAACTCTCAATAACATATTTCTTATAGTGGCTATTCATAATTTATGAAATATTATGATAAGAAAAATATTTTTTAATTATAAAATTATATTTACATAAAAGTAATTAGTGTGTGAAGAAATTTATAAAATATCATAAAAGTAATGACAATTTGAATGAAATAGTTGTCAAATAAAAAATTATAAAAATAGAATAATTAAGTACATTATTAAAAATTTTAGATATATTTTCTAAGTTGAAAATTGGCTGTTAACATTTTTTAAAAATTCATAATTCCTCATTTGAACCAAAATACATGTTTATATTTTAAAGTATATTTTTATTGAATTTTAATTTTTAAAATAAATAATTATTTAAGAAAACAATCTTAACCGATCACATACTTACGTTTTCTGACAAAATAATTATATGTTAACAAATTATAAAGTATAATATAATTTAATTCATTGATATTAATAAATATTATAAATTTTAATAAAAAATATTATTTATTGATTTTTAATATAAAAATTAGTATTATAATTTATTAATTGTTAAAAATAAATACTTATAAGAGTTTTACAATAAATACTATGATTAATTTATTAGTAATTTAACAAATAAAAATAAATTAAATATATTAGCAAAAAAAAATTTAAATTAAATATTATATTTATATCGTGGTGTTGCGCAATGATACGTTTGGATGAGATTTTGAAAACGATAAATTGGGATCATTTAAAGTATTGATAACGTCAGGTACCAGGCTTACTTTGCGACGTGTAAATAAAAGCAGTCATGCCATTTAGAAAAATAAATATAAATTTACTTTACTTTTATTTTATTTTATTAAATTACTTAACTTATTTTAATTTCCTTTTATCACACTGATATTTTCTCATGCGACGAAATAATATCATAAAAATGTCATATAAATATTATTAATTGTTCAATATTATTTATTTATATAAAATATTTGTATTGATTAAATAATTAAAGACTAAAAATCTTATTAATAAATAATAAAATGATAAATTTAATAAAACAGTTATATAAAAAATATTGATGGGTAGCTGACTACTTTATGTACCCAAACAGTCATATACATCCACAAAAGCAAGCGCACAGTATTTATCAAAAGAAAAACCAAACACCATACAATTGGTTGATAATTTAATATATTCTTTAAATTAATGATTCTCTAATTGACTTAGAGAAAATTTAAAAATTAATTTCTGTAAGTTTAGAACAATTAATATAAATCATTTTAAAAATATAAACACTAACATACTTTAAAAAAATAATCCAAATCAAGTTCAAAATTAATTATATAGTTAATAAAAAAAATCACAGTATTAATTAAAACTAAGTGAACGCATTGATTTAGTGCGTAATGTAGTTGGGTTGATTATGGGCACAAACATGAAAATGTCATGAACATGAAGTGATAGATACGAATCATCGTGTACTGTTTCTGGGTTTGGTTACGAGAAATCTTAGCAATAAAGCGCACCCTTTCATAAGCAACAACTACACCACCAAAATATAAACAGTGCGTCTAAATTCAAAGGCTCTCTTGGCCTAAACTTTTGGTGTCTAACGCGCTTTGCTCTGTTAACGTTGCGTCCACGAAACCAGAAGTGGTCCCCTAAAGTGCCCATGGCCTCCTCTCCATCAAGGTTACCAATTTTGCAATTAATGCGATTCATTTTTCTTTAGACAAATCTTATCTGTTCAATCTTTAACACACACCTTTTAATTTATTCTTAGTTGTAAATTATTATATGTTTTTGTAATTTTTAAAAGTGTATAAACAATTGATTTTTAACATCTCTCTTGTTCTTATATCAAACGTATGCTCAAATATGAATCATCGATGTTTGTGGTTGTATGCTCACAAGCAAAAGCATGCTATATTGATAGAAAAGATATCCAGCTAGCTTCCGTTTAATGAGTCTACCATGAAATCTTGCCGAGTTATCATGGGGTTCATGTGATCAACCAAAGAAATAATCTTCCCTCTGAAATCTCTTGCTTAAAATGTTTGACAATCTGAGGAAAGGTTTGTTTTTATAAGGCAAAATTAGTATTTTTATTGCAACTATGTTGGTTTTTTTTCCCTGTTATCTTTATTTTTTGTCTTTACATTTTTAAATGTTAATAAAATAAGTTAATTTTTTAATAGTTATATTTAACTATGATAATTGTTATTTTTGTCCTTTTCTTTTAATTATTAATGTTCACATTATCATCATTGTTTCTTTTTTCTCTTCCTCCTATCTAATTGATATAGTTAAACATAATAAATAAATATTTAAAAGTTATAGAGTTAGATTGAAATAAAAAAGTCAAATGACTAAATAGAATATATAATCAATATAGTTAAAGTTAATCTAGTTTATAATATAATATTTCCATTGAGATTAGGTCTTTTCTCTGTAGTACATTTCAAAGCAGCTAAAGGAATATTAACCACGAAATACAGTAATAGATTAATATGATCTAATCCATTTGCTAGTGTTTTGCTAATTATCATAACTTTGGTTTTAAACTTTTTCACTTAGTGAGGTGGCTAAACTATCTCCAGCGCAATGAAGCATTTGTATTTTTCTTTAATCATATATGTGTTGGCACTCAAATTGACTTGTGTGAATCCATACACAGAGCACACAGAAAAATCTTGATGGTGGCCCTCAATTGAATGCATCTACATTTATTGATGAAGAAGGTGCCATAATAGTTTTATTTTAGGTCCCAAAAGCTGGTATCTTTACCTACACTGACCTATATTTTATACTCCACACACATTACAAGTGATCAAACTATATAATCTTATTATTTAATGACCCTTTAAATGGATGGCCGTGGTTGTGGTCCTTTTATTTTATTCAGAATACCAAAATGGATAAATTATTATCTTTTGACTGTTTAGGGACAGTAAGTGGAAGGATCACTAATAGTTGTCGAGCAATTCATTTCATAGAGGCAGCAAATAAAAAATGTTTAGACGCACCAATAACAGTGTCATGGGTTGAGTGGAATTTCCTCACCATGCATTATTAATCGTAGACATAGGTAATAATATTATGACCAACAAAGAAAAAGGTGATTTACATATACAAGCAAGATAGTTTTTTCCAATAAATTTGATGGGAAATTAAAAGATGTTAAAATGACAAGATTTTTGGGATTAAGAATTTGTGTGGAAGATTGACAGTGGTGTCTACAAAGAATCAATAACATTTGGGTAACAAAATAAACAAATTATGTAATGTTGGTCACTTTTTACACATGGTAAGTGCACCGAATCAACATAAATATTACATTAAGAATAAGAGTATCCAATTTATAGAGTAGTGAATTACGGTTTAAATCTTTGTTAGAAAAAAATGTCCATGTTTAACGTTGAATGTGCCTAAGTAGGGTGACCTTATTATTTAAAGAATACATGCTTTAAAAACAAAAAATCATCAACAGAGAGGGTAATTATTATTATGTATTATCTTCTTCTCTTACATCACCATAAATTATTCCATTAGTATATTAACAATCGGTGGATGTAATCCTTCTGATACGTATTTGAAGCAGCAACTACAACAACCCACCTAGGAAAGCAACATGCTTTACTCAGTCAAAAAACATGCTGTTGATTTGCTTTGTTTATGATTATTTAAGCCCCCCCTTGGCATAAATAAATTGTTTTTCTGAATATTTTTTCTTATTTAATGCATAGGTTAGATATCCACACATAAGAATAATACAGAGTTAAGAGTTAGATAAAGAAGTTTAAGGGTTCAATTCATATATTGTATATTCAAACGATCCCTTTCAAAAAGAATTTTTATTAAAACATATTTTGTTGATAGTGGTATGCAGTAAAAGGGAAATATTTAGAGAAATCAAAAGTTGGGCCTTATGATTATTAGTTGAAGAAGTAAATACATCCAATTCGTCGTCTTCGTTGGGCTAGTGCCTCACCTTGTCGTGTTATCACTAAATAAATTTATTTTATTTATAATTTTTACAAATATTTATTAATAAATTTATCAAAGCATACCACTATACCACGGTTTTAGATACTTATAGTGGTGTCTTTTCTTCTTCTTTTTACCTAACAGATGATAAATTCCCTCTTACATTATAAATACTTTTTATTCTTCCAAGTGGGACGTAAGGATAAGATCATCGGGTTTTCTTTTATATTTTGTTTTACATTTCTTTAAAAAAAATTTAATCAATATTTAAACTTCTTCGATCAACATTAATCAGAGTGAGATGTTTACAAATCATCACTAAATTAATCTTATTTCAAATGTTTATCTTATGTATTTAAAAATAATAATATTTTGCTTATATTTATAAAACACTGGTACTTTATATATATGGGATATCTCCTAATCAATGTTGTGTTTATTCAAGCATTGTCCTTAGAACCCGAAATTCCAGACTATTCCTGTCTTTATTTCCAAAATTTAATTTTCAAACACTTCTTAACAAAATAATAGAATGAAAGATTCTCCAGAAAAATAAAAGAGCTGTAAAGTGTTTTTTCTTCAAAAAATAATAAATGATATAATGAGTTTAATTTTTCAACATCCTATAACTGTCAATTAATAAAAAATATATTATAAATATGCGGGAATTTTTTATTCTAAATATTTAATATAAATATAATAACTAATCCTGGAACTCAAAATTAAGAGGTATCATAATATTTAAATTAAAATGATCAAATAAATTATTATGATTTGTTATTTTATTTTAAATCCTTCAAAAACAAATAATGCTAACGGGAATATAAAATATACCTTGGATATTTTTGTGTCCTGCCAAAATCTTTCTTGGGACGAAAAAGAGGAGTGGAAAGCAGAAAGAATTAGAGCTTCTGAGAATGATGATTAATGGATATATGTGACAATGAAAAGGGTAGAACGAACGAGATAGAACAGAATCCCGAATAGTAGGAGGCTGTTTTCATGGACGAACCCGATTCAAATTCTTGCATAGGTTCGCGCTTCAATTAAACGCTTGGAATAATAATAAATATAAATATTGGAAACAAGTAGCACAAGGCCAGATGCTAATAGCGTTGAGGAGACACAGAATCTTTGTAATCTAAGATCTTGTGATTGCAAGTTGCAACTCCAATTCCATGGCCGCAGAAAAGCAAGTTATGGTTGTTGGAATCGACGACAGTGATTTCAGCACGAACGCTCTTGAATGGACGCTTGATCACCTGGTCTCGCCCGTACCCAATCCTATCTTCAAGCTTGTTCTTGTTTATGCTAAGCCCTCTGTTGCCTCTTCTGTTGGCTTCGTTGGCCCTGGTATGTAACTCTTCCTTTTCATTGTTTTTATCAATTTATGATTTTTGTTGTTCATTTTGTGACGTTGTTTCGTAGGAGCCGCTGAGGTCTTGCCTGTTGTCGATGCGGATTTGAGGAGAACAGCTACCAAAGTTGTTGAACAAGCCAAAGAACTCTGCAAGAAGAAATCCGTATGCTATTTTTAAAAAATATTCTTATAAAACATCATAAAATTTAATATAGGGATAGTGTTAAATGTTATAATTTTATTCTATCAATATTTATGATTTATTAATTTTTTATCATATATCCTTAAATAATATTTTAAAAAACTATTTATGCAATGCTCATGGTTTATAATTTCCAAGTTTCCTTATTTTAAAAAACTCATACATTTTCACTTCATTTCTTCATTGGACTCGAAAAGTAACTTTTTAACACCCCCCCCCCCTCCCCGAGTCCATGTAATTCATTTGAAAACAGCAAAACACTACCTAAGAACCAAACTAACCATTCGTTATAGTTTCTGTGATCTTCATCCCGTCCATGAATTGAGCTAATAAGAGAGGAAAAAAAAAAAACCACCTTAAGGTGTGTAATTTCTTATAGGAACAAGAATAGGAAGGTCTTATTTCGTTGACAACATGTCGATAGTTAAGGACTTAAGGTGATCAGTGATGATACTTTGTAGTTGATCAATAGTCTTTGGCCCAAAATTTTGGCCTTGATCTGTTTATGCTGTGCTTTCTGTGTCTTACCATATCCTCTGGCTCTGGCTTATGATACGCACCACTCACAGTTTTCCCAAGCTAACAATCTTCATTGTGCTCCATGTGGAACATGCACTGGACCCACTATGGTGTCAACAAGATGTATTAGGACTATGCTGTTCTAGTTATACATGTAATAGGTTGAACATGATTTGAATTTAACAATGATGCATCACGCTCAGAACTGCAGGGTAGTGGAAAGAAGTACACTACCTCTCTACTAGCTTTGGTCTTCATATGTTTAATGAAATAAGCTAATATGATTATCAAGATCTACCACATCCTAATTCTAAAACCAGGGACAAGTAGCGTTAATTTCAGTGATTGATTCCATGCAGGCTTCTCCTTCTTTGAGGGAGAAGAGAAAGTACTGAAAATTGCTGAGTAGTGCATCTTTCTAAGAAAATGTGGCGTTTAAATTATTGTGATTTCCCTTCGTTTTTTTCCCAGTTTGAGGTAAAAGGAAACGAAAAATACAGATAAATATAATGCTGTATCATTTTACTTCATTTATGACATCTCAGAGCATTAACATTCTATATATATGCTTGTGTGAGGCTGTGTGCGCATATTAATATCCAATGACGTTTTTCTTATCAGGTAAATGACGTAACAGTGGAAGTGGTGGAAGGTGATCCTAGAAATGTTCTTTGTGATGCTGTGGAAAAACACCATGCTTCAATATTGGTTGTGGGTAGTCATGGTTATGGGGCTTTAAAAAGGTACAGGTTCATTCTGATCCTAGTTATCAATTTATCGATTATCGCTTTGTAATGTGTAGGTCATATAGGATTTTGATAAATATTTTTTTTAAGTTGGTGAAATTGTGTTCTAACATTCTCTATGAACCAACATTATCTCCAACTAAAGTTGCCAAGAACAAGAGTAAGCAATTATCTGCCACACAAATCCATGGAAAGTATAGGCAGCCCCAAAGCTACTGCTTTTGTTTGTTTGTTTTTTACTGTATAAGCCAGCTTGGCAATTTTGGTTTTGGTATGGTTTGTGTGTTTGTGCTTAATAGTTAGCACATGCAGTTTTTGGGCTCATCTTTACCAGTTATGTACAATCATTGTCACTTTGGTTCATGGTAACTCTTTATGCTTTATCACGCTAGCTATTTTGGCTGTTGTAGTAGTAGAAGACGCAACGTACTACTTGCATTGTTTTTGAAAGGTAGCTTTTCACTTCAAAATCTTTAATTCAGCTTTGCTTTGACACTACCTTTATTTGCAGGGCGGTTTTAGGTAGTGTAAGTGACTACTGTGCTCATCATGCTAATTGCACTGTGATGATCGTGAAGAAGCCAAAAACCAAACACTGATCTCGTTCGCTGAGATTACGGCTATGAACATAAATCTTTTTAGCTAAAGGGAAAATAAATGTTCTAAAAAATTCATATATAGCATTGTTTGTAACATGTTATGATGATCAACTTTATGGTAAGCTTCATTTCACTTTCTTATTTTAAAAAATAAAACCGACAATTGGTGTTGCGATTCATGTAAATGTCTGTTCTATGCATATAAATGTAATGTAAGCACAGTACTTTTCTCATCCCATCCTCCTTGTGGGACTTGGTTTATTCATAAGCAATTCATATGAATGTGTCTGTTCTATGCATATGACTCGGGAAAGTTGCGATTCGGTCGCATCCCATTGACTCTCAATTGACAATTGGTGTTGGAGCTTTTTCTTTCTTTCTTTCTTGGATACAATAGTAGTAATGAAATTTAGACTCATGTTCTCGTTTAAATTATTCAAGTCTTTTAACATTACTTTAATTTTAGTGGCTTAATTGGTCATGTAGTTTAATTCAGCAATTAAATCTTATTCAATCCTGATTATAGCTTATCCTTCAATTTCTAGATTTTATTTAACCATTTTTAATTTTATTCAATCTCCACATAACGTCTACAAGACTACGACAGCCAAGTAAAAGAAATTCCGGTCCCAAACTTAGCTTTCTCTCGATTAAGTTCTGGATTTATAAATTGGTTATTCAATCTTTAAGGTTGCAGTTTTCGGGGGTCGATGCATTTTGTAATTTTGTAGAAACTAACAGTTTATAGTTAAATTCCATGACGTGTTCACCAAGATTTTGTTAATATTGAAGTTAGTTCAAAATGTTATTTTCAATTATTGAGCTGTGCAAGATATTTCTCAAAATATTTAGGCTTTAAATTATAATTTAAAATTCATTTATTTATTGTTTGCATACAGAATTTATAATATACACCTAAAATTAACCTATTTTATTAGAGACAACGCTTATAGATATATATTATTTTCTCTTTTTACTATTTGGGTATCATCGGCAGATTCCAGTTCTTTCGAGCCTTATAATTAACCAAGGTGTATCAAAAGATGAAATGAAGGTGTTTGGGCAAATTTTCACATCAATATTATCAAGTGTTTAAAGTTCCATTTTATCTAAAGCCTTACAATTATTTTTAAAATTGATTTGTGATGACAATAAAAGTAGGAAAAAAAGGGAAAAATACATTTGAGAGATTCGTTCAAAAAATGGATTAAACTAAAATAATCCAATTCAACTGTTGAAAAGGTGAATTTAATTTTAAAATATAAAAGAAAAAGCAGCGCAATTCTACATTTTTGAAGAGTGAAAATTTAGTTTATACAAATAAAAAAGGACACGGGAGAGACATCTTTTACTTTTTGGTTCAGTGCCTTTCAATTCTTTAATATAAAAACAATAGTAACATTCGAGTAATTTGTTAAGAATTGAAAAGTTTTTTAATTATTAATTATTTTGTAATTTTATAAAATTAATAATAAAAAAACTCATTCATAATTTCATATTTTAATTGTACGATCAATTCCGTATGATCATCTACTTATAATGGCGCATAACCCTTGTGTTCGTAAACAATACGACTGTGCTTTTCTAAGCAACATCCCGGAGTAGGCACCCTTGGGTGTTTCTTTGTTTTAACGGTGTGTTTTGAAATAAACAGAAATAATTAAAAGGAAGTCAAAAATAAAAATAACATCACATACAGTGTCTCAATTTTTAGTAGTTTATATAATGAAAATGTTTGTATAATGCACCCATGCAATGTATCGAATCAGTGAAGAATGGCATAAAATGAGACACGTTAAACCATGAAAGGAAAAAAAGCAACGGTATTCATTGTGTATACCCAATTACGGACCAGAAAATGGAAGCACGACACGAAGTGTGGGGTGCATAAAATAGAAAGCACTCCTGTGCAGTGTGAATGATACTCTAAGTTCAAAGTATTTTAGGAATTGGGAAATTATTTTTGTTATGTTTATCTGTAAGTTCTGGACACGTTTGATTCTTCGCAGTAGTGACATAGCTACGACAATAATAGTGATGCAAGTTTAACTAAAATAAGGTTCAACAAAATAAATAACAATATAAAGATTATCTCAATAAAGATGTGATGGAAAATTAATGAAAGTGTAAAAAAGAATGAGAAATTTTACGGTGGCTATGACAAAGCCTCACATTCTTGGACTCACGAGTAGCTATACTATATATTGTATACGGACCCACAAATGATGAACAAAAATTGAGTGAAATGGATCAATTCCTGGGGTGCTCTGGTTTACGATGAGGTAGCTAATAAGTCTTCGTTCATCAAACAATTGGCATCCATCACACACGTCAAATATGCATTTCAAATTGAATAGTGTATTAATAAATAGGGAAACAAATGAAAAATGGCAGATTAAAAACGAAGAAAATGGTAGAGATTTCATACCAGAGGGGAATTGAAATCAAGAGTACATGGGGACATCGGTCCAAGCACCAGAAACGTGTCCGTTTTCGCAAACAAAAGCACGAACAACAGGTTCACCATCGTCGTGGAAGCCAAAACCGCGTCTCAAGCAGAAAGCAGAGTGAAGATCCCAAGTGAACATAGAGGAACAAAAGGCGCAAGGCAGATCGAGCTTCTTGCGGTTGGCGTCATGAATAGTTCTCCAAACGCGCGTGCGTTTGAAGTTTTTGAAAACCCCACGGAAGAGACGGTACTTGCGCTTCTCCTCCTTGTGAACGCAACCAGGCCAATCGCAAACGTACAAACAGTCGTCGCGGAACTGCCTCGCCAGGAGCTTGCTGCCTTGCTCGCGGCTCAAGCTCCAAGTCCCCGAAGCCAAGTGGGACCTCCACGACCGGGAAACCTTGCGTTTTTTGCACGCGCTAACTGCAACGCCTGCGCTAACCGCAGCGCCCGCGCTAACCGCCTCAGGGAATGGCGGAGGTTCGTGAGATTCGGTGGCGTCGTAGAGAGTGTCGTAGTAAAGGTCGTCGAAGAGGGACCAACAGGAAGAGGAATCGTGAGGGGGAGGGGGAGGAGGAAGATGGATAGAGGGTGAAGGGGAAGGGGTGAGGGATTGGTCGGGGCCGAGGTCGCGTTCGAGGCCGAAATCGGAGGTGTCTAAGAGGAGGCCGGCGTGGAGGAGGCCGGGGCAGCAGAAGGAGAGTTTGTGGATGGAGGGATCGTCGGTGGAGAGGAGATCGGAGGGGATGGTGCGTGACGACCTTCTCTTCCAACAGAAGTCGCGAATGAGAGAGGAGAATTTGGTGCAGACGCAGGCAAGGCGACCCCAGTGGCGAGGATCGTCTTCGAGGTTGAAGAAGATGTTCAGAATTATGTCGTCGGTTAGTTCTGTGAACGCGTTCTTCTCTTTCTCACCCATCTTTCTTCCTTCCATTCCTCCTTTCCGTTATTAAATGAATATCTCTCAAATTAAACCACAAAAACCACCACCAGAAATAAAAATAAAAATAAAATTAAGCCCTATTATAATAATATTTTTTCATTTTAGTCAGCAAACCTTTTTTCCTAAGGAAATTGAAAATGTATATACTAAAAAAATGAGAATTTATTAAAGGGACACTTAATTTATTTATTTTCATTGGAGGGGTGGAACACTAGTGTGGCAACAGAGCAGTTGAAGAAGAAGATGAAATGAGTAAAAGAAATAATGGAAGGGGAAGAGGCACAGAACAGGACATGACATGAAATGAAGTAAAGAGAAAGCAGAGCCACAGAAAGAGGACAGCCCAACAACCACAAATGATGCCTGCCTCGTCACCCTTCCCTACTTTTAATTCGACTTGACAATCAACTTGTCCTTTTACGGGACGCAACATAACGCCACCCTCCATTCAACTTCGCATCTCTCTTATCCATCTGTCATGTAAGAAACCAGTGAATGCTTGTTTTATTCTCACCTCGTGATCTTTCTGTTCCTTTTTTCAACAAGTGCGTTGAATCCGTGCAATTGATATCACCGACTCAGTCAAAAATGCTCTTTAAATGTTACCCTGGATTATCAATCTTTTAAACAATTAACCTCCACAACAGGTTTCTTAAACAAGACTAGACTAAGCATGAATAAAAATTGAAAATCAACTCAGTAATTTGTTCGTATAGGAGCTATACTACTGATTCTGTGACGACAGACGACTATGTTAAAATTCGAGGAAATTTTGTCTAATGCCTACACCAAATAATCTTATAACTTGATAGTCAAAATTGAGATTTTACGTGGTAGGTTTATTATCGTAACTGTAGGATTATAACACGCAACATAATATCTTACAAAATTGTATATATACAAATAAAATAGTATAAATTGAAAAAAAATAAAAACATTAATATAAATCACAATACTTTAAAAGATAAATATTAAGAATATGTCTAACATAAAGTTTTAAACGAAATATAAAATTAATATCTAAACTTTAAATATCTATTTTATCATATCTAAAATATTTTGATAATAAAAAAGTCGTCATCTCCTTCATCATTTTCATTTGATCTATCATATTTTTTATCATCAAAATTGTCTATATTAAGAACATCACTAATACCAACATCTTAATTTGATTCTTGGTCCAAATCCAAGTTTCCATCTTCATCAAGAGCATCAACCTGAATGTCCTCATCTTCCAAATTATCTTATAGACTCAAATCTTCATGATTTCTTTTATCATTATTTTCTACTATCCACTCATTGTCTGATGGAATATCATCTATATTTATGTGAAGATCCTTCACTCTCCTAACTATCTTCTTCTTGACTAATTTTGAATTTGCCATAACAAATATCACATCATTCATTGTATTGTGTTTCAAACGGTTTCTTCTTTTAGTATGCACCTAAACAAATAATAATATATTAAATTATAATTTAAGATAAAAAAAAATAGTTGGCTAGCCTGATACATAATATTAAAAAAAAAAATTTCTACTTACCATCTCAAAGGCACTCCAGTTACGTTCACATCCAGAAGAACTATGTCAAGCTTAGTATTCGAATAACAAATTTTTGAAGCTCGAGATACTCATCTCCATGAGACATCTACCAATCAGTTGGCAAACACATATCAACAGTATTTCTAACCAAGTGGCTACCAAAATTACCAGCTCGCTTTCTAAATGAATCAAGTTGACAATCAATTTTACATTGTTCATCTTGATCAAGTATCATCCTTGTCAAACAATCATATAGTTCACGCTTAACTTCAAGATCAGCCTTAAATTTAGGACTATATTGCATCCTACGATTAAGAAAATAGTCTGCAGCATGTAAAGGCCTATGGAGATGTTTATCCCATCTTTCATCTATGATGTTCCATATAGGTACATAACTGATAAAGAGTAAACAACAAAGATTCAATATACAATATAACATAGATCACAAAATAGAGATTAATTTAATTTGATAGTAGTTATAGTTAGTTACTTTTTCTTAAACACCATTGAAAGCAATTTGAATATTCTCTTTAGCTTGATCCATTGTTTCATAAATAAAGCTCATAGTTTCCTCATTTGAATCAACCATTTGAAGAACTTTGATAAGAGGAAATGTTGCTTTCAAACAAGTGATTATATTCTTCCAAAACTCTTTATCCAAAATCAATTCTTCTATAGCTCTCCCATCCTTTGTCTTAGCCAACTTAGAAGATTTCCATTCATTGGATGTGAACATTCTTATCAAAGCAACTCTATTTTCTTGAAGGCACCTTAGAGTCAAATAAGATGTAGCAAAAAGAGTAATTTCTGGCCTTATCAAATCTTTGCCTTTGGTGAAATGTTGCAATAGAGAAATAAGACCTGTCCTTGAATAGATGTAGGTTGTAATTTTTCTACCTTTTGGAATTGTCTCTTCATGAATCAATATCTTCTTCTCAAAGTCTTCCAACATCAAATCAATACAATGTGCTGTACAAGGGGTCTAATACAAGTGTTTTCTTTTTTGCATCAACATCTCCCCTGTAGCTTTATAATTTTCTTACCTTTTGGAATTGTCTCTTCATGAATCTGTATCTTTTTTTCAAAGTCCTCTAACATCAAATCAATACAATGTGCTGCACAAGGGGTCCACTACAAGTGTTTTCTTTTTTGCATCAACATCTCCCCTGCAGCTTTATAATTTGCTGCATTGTCAGTCATAACTTGGATTACATTTTTCTCACCAATTTCTTCAACAACATGATCAATCATTTTAAATATTTTATCAGCTATTTTTTCTATATGAGATGCATCAATAGACTTCAAAAAAATAGTTCCTTTAAGACTATTCACCAAGAAGTTTAATATTGTTCTCCTCCTCTTATCAGTCCACCCATCAGCCATTAATGTGCATCCAACAAAATTTCATTCAGCTCTATGTTCTTCTAATATCTCCTTTGTTAACTCTATTTCTTTTTTCAAGTACTTTACTCCAATTTCATGATAGCTTGGTGATTTAAATCCAGGATCATGGCTAGCAATTAAATCATACATAACAGAAAATTCATCACTTCTTGCCACATTGAATGATATGGCATTATTATAAAAAAAAACCTTCCAATAGCTTGGCAAGCCTCCTCTCTTCTAGTTTTATTGAATATGTTGTTGATTGTTACTTGAGTGGTCCTTTTCCTAAAAATATTTCCTCCTCCAGTTACCTCATTCTTGATTTTCTTTTGCTTCCATCACTTGTATCTAAAGTCTCTCTCTCAACAAAGGAATTTGATTTTTTTATTCAAATTTTCTTGCATGCTTACAAGTAAATTCCACATTTGATTTTTTACCTCATCCGGAACAGATTTGCATGCTCCAACATCTTTGGCTGTTTGAGCCAAGTGATACTTCCATCGATAAGCACTTCCGCTTATAGTTTTTTGACAATATTTGCTTTGAATTTTTCTTGTACCTTCAATTGCAATCCCCTGTTGCCATGTTACATCACTTTTGTTTCCTGGTGCATTCTTCATTAATGACTTGGAGGGAGGAGCTTAACTACTACTTGAAGCCATTTTATCTAATGGGAGCAAACAGCAGTAGCACAGAAAACGGAGCATAGAAGCAAAAAAATAAAGAAAATCCCAATCACATGCAGCAGCCAAGATGATGAAGATAAAGCAAAAAATCCCAAACCAAATAAGAAAAAATCCAATTGCCGAAGCTAAGCCCAGTTGCCAGAGCCATGGTCAGAACCAAATCACACTCGTCGAAACCTCGCATTCGCACAACAGACGCAATTGCCAAAGCTGAATCACAGTCGTTGGAACCAAATCGCAATCATCAGAACCTCACAGAGAAGTCGCACAACAAAGACGCCCAATCTCGCAGAACAGAGTGAAGAAAGGAAAAAACGCAATGAGGAGTTATGAGATTTTAGGACTCCAAAAACTTAGATGATGCCGGGTCAAGTCGCGGGTCGTTAGCCCAAAAAGCCTTCTCCTTTGCACGTCAGAATCACACGTCTTCAACGAGTTTACGACCTAGCATAAACGATCCCATCGATCCATACGATTCTACAATCCAAAACACGATTTTAACCTTGACAAGAAAGACTTGCCGTACAATTTTGAATTCTTGTACACTACAACAAATAGCATAAACTAGTGTCCAACAGTCTTTAGTAAATAGCTAGAGAAGTCCCAAAACCGCATTAGACTATTCATAACTCTTGTAATATTTTCACTTATTTTAATAAATTTCTTCAAATATTAGCGCAGTTCTGCTGTATTTACAAATAGACAAGGACCATAACAGAAGGATACCCGCTCACGGAGATATGACATTTATTTAAAAATTAAATTTTAATTTTTATAGCTTATTTTATAATCAAATTTATGATATAAACTGACGTAGTGACAATAATTGTGTCAAATAAGCATTTAAATAAGTGATGGTCAATATATGTATATATAAAAAGCACTGAGTTATAATAAACCCGCGTTAAGGATCCAAAGAGCTAAAGTTTGTCATTCAACAGTCTATTACAGAAAACTAGGGTCCGTCAAATCATTCAATAAAAACCAAGGCCAATGGGCAGAATTCTCAGGTTCAATTCAAAGGAGTTCAAATAACATAAACCCAAATAAGTGTTTTTCTTGACTAATGTCAATTCACTAGAAAAACTTGGTAGCACTCACCATCTTCCACAACTTCATCCAATTGCAACAATCAGAGATCACCTGCCCAGGCCAAGGCCCAATTAGATCCAAATAAGTTGAGATTATATCCAACACCCAAACAAAATTTAAAGTCAACAAACGCCATAGAAATAACAGAATTTAAGATAGAGACCGGGACAAACTCTTGCTCCTACTCCTACTTGGGCTCCTGCTTGCACTGCGCTTTTTGGGGCTTTTATTATGCTGGCAAAGAACATCATCATCAATTGGGGAGGGAAAAAATGGCCTAGCGGACCAAAACTGTACTTGAATATTGGAAATATGCTTTATGCAATCCCCACCCCCACAATAATGCTTCATATAGTTCACCCACATGTTTTGCATTTATACATGGCAATGATGCAAATCACAACATCTGACTCAGCCAAGATGAGACAAGCAGCATAATAATGTTCACTTTAAGTAAAGAGAAGTCACTCACTGAAGGCAATGGAGACCTGGACCTTGACCGTGATCTGCAAAAGTTCCACAAACAACAGAGTTTAAAATCCTCAAGTTCTCTTATCAAATTGATCCAACAGCCTTGGTGCCTCTCCCATGTCACAGTTAACATATCCAAGAGAGGTAAAAACAAGCATTGTAAAATATAAAACAGACAAACAGAGAAGGCTAAAAATGGAAAAGTAAGACTGTATGCACAATAATATGATGAAAAGTGAATAAAATTAGGCTATCTCAGGGTACAATATTAAGACACCAATGGACTGGAGAAAAGAAATCTTCCCTACTGCACCACAAAATCCAGAGAATCCAGATAGTGCATCCTATTGGCTTGGAAAATCTTGAAGCCCACAATTGTAATGAAATTGTCCCTATTGCTCATTGGTGGTGATTTCCAAATCCAAATTGCCTTTAATACACAAGACATCCAGCTCTAAAATGGCAATCCATGATCTCCTTGGTTCCCAATCTAGCACCCATGGACATTTGCATGCTAAAAGTATTAGAACAGATGTACTGTGAAGGTATCCAAAGTCGCCCATTCTATAAAATATCATACCTCCACAACAAATGAGTTGCAGGCAATTGAACCAAATCCCACCAAGTTCCTAATTTCCAATTTCCAGTATGCTGCAAGTTTCCATATCTAGGAAAAAAAACAAAGGAATCTTCACAAAAACAAAAGGAAACTGAAAGAGAACACTCCGACGAGGCATTTTTCACCAGGTTCCGCACGAACAAAGCAAGATGGGAAATTAATTGACAACGGATGGAATGTGTAGAGTGCAACAATTTTATGTAGGAAAAAGTTATCAAATCTTGAGTTCATAGAGAAAATTGATAAACAAATCATTTAAAAACAAAATTCCCTCTGACTTTCATTTTTCCAATAAAAGAAGGGTGTTAAATCAAACAAGTTCCAGTCTTTGATGCTTATCAACACAGTCAACAGACAGTACAGACAACTCACTTCACCAGGACATATCAAATGATATTATTACTAACAGTTAGTTAAAACAAGATACCCATGAACTTAGTTGATTCATCAATTGAATTTCTGCCTACTCCTATTTTATTCATTATCAATACCCCTATTTATCTATGTTAGCCCCATGCAATCTATTAAAATGCCTCTTCTGATGGGCTCTTTGCCCCTCCTGCACGTACTCATAAGGCTACGAAACTTTTAATGGATCAGTAAAATGGTCAAGTCAACCATACTTCAAGATACTAAACAATATAATAAAAAAAAAAACCGCCAACCAGTGCTCTCTAAGAAATCACTAAATATAAATTATTAATGAAAATCATGTTATGGATGCATAATAAATCACAGGAAAAGTGCACTGTTATACTTTCCAATCTAAGTCTTTTAATTTCTTAAGGAGTGCCCTAAAATACTAGGACACTGATTAGCATTTGCCTAAAAATATACTTAGAGAGATAAGTCACCAGACAAACAGTATTAGACCAAAAATTATGAGTGTCCAAAACATAACATACCCTGATAACGAACGGGACCTTGATCTTGAGCGAGAACGAGAGGGAGATCTTGATGGAGATTTTGCTGGTGAACGCTGTGAAGATTTACCCTTTGGAGATTTGCTGCATATAGAACACAAAATTGATTAAGAAAAAGATTGATGGGTTAGCAATGAATCTTAAGAGAAGGAATGACTTTTAATTAAAATAAGCTTCCTATAGACCTTTGGCTTCGACCACGACTGTAACTACGGCTGCGACTGCGGCTGTAGCTTCTTCCTCTAGAATGAGATGGGCCGCGACTAGGACTTCTAGAGGAGTCCCTCCTTGAATCATATTCCCTAACCTATATGGAGTAAAAGAGCATTAGCATAGGTTGTATGCACTAGAAAAAATAAATAATTTTCAAAATATCAAATTCAGGCCATACGCGAATATAAGCCCTGGCAAATGCATTTCGGAACTCAGAGTCATCAAGCTTCTTGATCTGCAATAAAACACAATACCACCATTGAAAATATTCTAGGTATTTTAGAGAAGACACTAAGCAATGCTTATGACAGGTTATCCATGATGTCCTTTGAAATAAATAAATAAATAAGTAAATAGGCAACTCACAGCATATTTCATATCATCATAATTTGTGTAATCCACAATACCAGTAGTACCTGCAAACCACTCATCATACATCACTGAATTCTGCAAACAATTTTAACTATAAACCGAAACACAAAAATTGCATAGACTCTTTTTACAGGCTCAAATGCCACCCGCTCATGAATAGAACTAAGATAACAGAATAAGGTAGACAGAGAAAATGAACAGTTTAAAATCTTCTTAACTACTAATACATCAAAAAAGGTACAAATAAGAACCAGAAAATTCATCCAAATATTCCATACCCCTTCCATCATGAAAAACTTGGGAAAAGCAAACATCCCCAGCCTTCCGCATGTGATCCTGCATTTAGGAAAATCAGTTTTTTTAAGTCGATATGCACAACACCCCCCCCCCCAAAAAAAAACATTTGATAGAAAGGAAACGTGTCAATTCTAACAGCTCACCTTAAGATCCTGCCACGATGCAGAAGAAGGCAATCCAGTGACTAGAACTGTGAAAAGGGAGCATGAAAAATATGTAAGCATATCAAAATAGTCCTTAAAATATAATAAATATTCCAAATATCTACACACCACGGTACTCAGAGCGCCTAGATACTCCACGTCCAGCCCGCCCATTGCTGTGACTACTATATCGATCTCTTGAGGATGAATGACCACGTCCACCATGAGCAGGCTCCACCTATAAAGATACATGTCAAATAATATTGGCAATACATTTGCTGCTATCTTTTTTTCCCACTTCTGAAAGAATTTGTTACAGCTATCAGATCATTACAGCAAGTGATTCTAAAGATATAACCCACCCGTAACCGGTGCCCATCAAAATCATAGCCATCACGCCCACGAATTGCATCCTCTGCATCTTGAGCATCTTCAAACTGCAGCAATCAGTTCTCAATCAGGACAAGGAGGGAAAAAGGAAACGTAAATCATGCTGAGTAACTGCAAACTCACCTCTACGAATGCATAACCAGGTGGTCTTGGGGGAACTTTTAGGTCAATGTGAGTAATGTGTCCATACTACAAAGTGAAATTTATAATTAAACAACAGTAACCTCATAATTAACAAAGAGAATAAAACAGAAAATTATTAACAGCCATACATGCACATCACGAACACATCCCACATACATTGTCCCAAAGGAGACCATTAAAAATTGTAGCTTAGTATCTTACTACATCACCATCCATTATTATACTTTAATTTTAAGACCACCATAAAACTAAAGCCCCACTTTGGTCTCAAAGATTGTAAGTAATGGTCATTTTAGTCCCTATTCTCTACCTTCAAGAAACTGTCACTACAGTGCCTCCTGACTTGGCAAAACATCATTTACTTCAGTCACTTTTCCACTACATTTTTCACTGACATTAAGAACTAAAGTGAATCATGTTTTACCAAATCAAGGATTGAAATGACGATTTCTAAGTCAGAGCTCCCAATCTGAGTGACTAAAATGGGGTTCACTTCCCGCCTTAACAAGTAAAAACCAAACGAATTCCTCAAATAGCCGAAGAAAGACAATGTAGGTAAAGATCCTAGCAAGCTAATGACTTCCAGTTCCAAATTATGTATTATTAATGTCATGTAAATTCCCCCGACGATTCCAAACAGAACCCTTCTTTAGTGAGGTGCAAGTCACCTTTCCTAGATTAAAACAAGTACCATAGTTTCAGATCAAAATGCAGATAAAACAAGAAATAACAAAGCACCTTCATGAACAAATCTTCAACTTCTCTTTCACGGATATCACCAGGTAGATTCCCAACGTACACAGTTCTGCTCGCACGTCTACTCATTTTCTTTTGTGGACTGCGACACGTTAATAATAAACTCGAGCAATAAGCAACAGCAAGATACAATTTCAAGAGATGCAAATTTCTGTTCAAGCCCTAGCCGCACTTGAGCTAATTGAAAGAGAAATTTAAAATCCTTCATAGAAAAAAGAGAAAGAGAAAGAGTAACGAATAGAGGAGAGGATAAAAAAAGGAATTTAGTGGTTGTAATGAAATAGGTTAAAATGAGGAAGAGATGAAGGGGGGAAGGGAGTCACCTTCGATTAGTGGAGATTGGGGATCGGTGGTGGCGATGCGGTGAGGTTAGGGTTTTGATTTTAGGGGAGGGAGACGCGAGAGGGAAAAGGATTTGTGTCGTATGGTATGATAAAAAGGTACTCTTATACGGTACAGAAATTAAATAATAATAAGAATAATAATAATAATATATACTATGACGCCTTCGAGACACTGTGGCCAGTCCCAGCACGGCGTGCCTTGTGCGCGTCACACGGGATTCTCACCTCAATTGGATTTGGATATTTTCTTTGTTTTTTCAGCACATAGAAATTGCAGAAACTAAAAAAGAAAAAAAAAAGCAGAAAAATAAGATATTCTCATTTAACGATATTTTATACCATTTTTCAATTAATTTAAAATTTTATTTTGAAATATAAGTAATTAAGGATTTTAAAAAAAGATTTATAATGTTAAGATTCAAGAAATAATGTAATTTTTAAAATATACATATAATTTAAATAAAAAATAAAGATTATATGTTTACGATATCATCTGTAAGAAACGGACGGTAAATAAAATGCTAAATGTTTTAAGAACTCAGTTTTATAATATAAAAGATAAATAAACTTTTCATATTTTTTATAAATTATTTGAACAGCATAACGAAAGCTTGGACGAAATAAATAAATAAGATATGTATAATTTTAGTCATCTTAATTTTAATTAATTACATTTAATTTATTTAATTTATTAATTCCAAAATTTCATTCAAGTATTAACAACAAAACAGGAGAAGTGTAACATATTATTGATTTATATAAATTAATGAAGAAAAATATATAAAAATTTGAATAAAAATATTCAATGAAATATGATAAATGCCCTTTTTATTTTAATTATTTTTTATTTACTTTCTTATAATATGTTATTTTTTTGTTAATTATTATATAAGTATTTGAGGTATAAAACTTAATTTAAGCAGTTGAAAAAAAAAAAGAGTAATTATAACTAAAAACAAAAGTTATACGTAAAATAAAGTATGATAACAACAAGTGTAACTACAACTTCTTTTAAGAAAGTCCTGTTAGACTTGAGATACAAATTTCGCAACATGGTTATATTCTTTCATTATAAATAAAATAAACAAATTCATGTGTCATAAATAAGTAAAGTGAAATAAAGATTGTTCAAGATTCAAATTTATGACAGTTAGATTATTTTTATTCTTCTAAAAAATAACTAAACAGCTTAACGAAAGTTAAGGTGAAATGACAAAAAGAATATTTTAAAAGACGTTCCTTTTATTAAAGAAATTCTTATGAAATTTAAGGATTGAATCTTCACTATATAATCGCATTCCATTATAGAAGCAAAACTATAGGAAAAAAATAATCAACAAGGTCATCGATGACAGTAAAATAAAACAATAGTTAACATGTTAGAATAAAAGATTATTAAGAGCTTTCGTAATCATAATCGTAATTATAAAAATTTGTTCTAACAACACCTTTCTTAGAATATGGCACATTACAGATATTTTTCATTATTCCAACTATTATAGTTTTTCTTTTGAATTTACATTCCCAGGTTCCCTTAATCAATATCATTAATTTAAATTTCAACGAGACTTGTTGATTTAAATGTTAATTACACTTATTAATATTAAATTACATGACAACAACAACCACTAGATGAAGTATACAAAATTACATGACAATGTTTAAAAATTATACTCTCAGTGCATCATAAAGAAATTCTTAAAAAGTTACTGCCAAATCATAAGGAGGTGAAAAAGAGAAGTTATTTTCACTTAAAAAACCAACAGTATCAAAATCTAAAAGATCATAAATATAATACCTATGTTTAGTACATGTAGGAAAGCAAGTTTTTAGAAAATAACAATTTAAAAAAAAGCTGAAGAAGCTGATATAGTATGCATCAGTAGCAGGTATTAAAATCTGAAAAGTTATTTCTTCTATAATCTTTTATAAAAAATAAAATTTATTAATCCAATCGACACATTCAAGCTTTTACAAAATAACTTAAGTCTACAAAATATTATATAATTAAAAATATTTTATCAAACCATATTATTTAAAGCAAAACAAACTATTTTCAATATAATTAAATATATAAAACTAAACATTTGTTAGAATAATCTAAAATGTGGTATAAATTAATAATTTTTTGTATTAAAAATTATTTAAAAAGTCATTTTATAAAATTTAACACTTAACAATATATGTGTGATTTCATACTGACACCTGGTCAAGATTAAATAACACAATAAAAATGTATTTTTGAATTTTAAGATCAAAATACGTTAAATAAAAATCAATAAGTACTTATAGAAAATTTGTTATGCAAACACTTAATATAAACTATTAGAACGTGTCTGAAAATGCTTAAATATATATAAAAAAATATGCTTACTTTTTAAAAAGTTCCCGAAAAAAATTAACAAAGCTGAACCGAACACAATATGTTGATTTTTTCATTCAAGGATTTCAATCGTTTTAACCCAGCATGTTTGCAACCCAATTGACATGTTCCAAATTCACAAGCTCATAGTTTAATCAGCAGTCCCAAGTTGACCTCCGAATTATTGCACAGGTAAAAAAAAAACCCATAACGTCAAATGTATAAAACAAGGGGCTCACAGGACATGCAGGAATACCCATCCAAGCAAATAAAATAACAAACGTTTCATCAAAATGATTGTTCAGAAGCTTAAATAAATTCACAATTATTTCCAAGTGCTAATGATGTTCATTAGCAACCCCATCCTCCTGACCTTTCCTGGCAGCAGCTCTTAGTTTGCGCTGCTCCTCCTTGTAGATCCGGTTTCGTCGTTGGAACTGCACCAAGCAATAAAATCAACATCAGTTATTCATTTGCCTAACAAAGCAACGCGTGTCATAAGGTTACTCGTAACTGATGCAGAAAGTTAATTTACGTAGCCTGGGGCAAAGAAAAAAATTGACAATTTTTTATAATATGGGCCAGTTGCTTTCCAGGTCTGAACTAAATAACAGGATATATTTCTATCACCGGAGTAAACTTCATTGAGAAAATATTGCAGCCAGGATAGCTATGTAATCAGGAATTCTTCATGCTCAATGTTAACTACTCTAGTCATTGTAATACTCCCTTTGTCTCTCAAACAAGATATACAATTTTCACTCCTTATTTTGATTCTAACCCAAAACTTTCCTTCTGTCAACACCGCTCCCAAAGTAAACCCTGTTAGATTCTTTTTAAAAGATAAAATAAAATAAGAACTTTATGGGTGTGCTTTTGATGCACAGTGAGAGACAACATAAGCAACACAAGTAGTTGAGTTACAATGCAATTTTCTGTTAAATTTGTTGCTCTGTGGTCAATGCACAGCAGGGTTAACATTGAGAAAGAGAAGAAGTCTTCAGGAAGAGGGCTATTGCATAGAGGAAGAAAGGATTGGGTACTTTCAACTTTTGAGTGGTATTGTGCAGGCAGTTTATTGAGCAACAAAATTTAAAACTCTTGTTCTGGTTCATCTTTTATTTTGTTGTGTCCCATGTTTATGTCTGAAATCAATATTGGAATAAGTGTTATTGTGTTGTCCGGTCATTTATTCTTTAGCAAATCAAGGGCATCCCAAGAGTATAATATACGGTAACTCATTTTAAGATTAATCCAAATAAAATTATAAGCTTGACTACATTAGGTAAAAGGTTTAAACCGGATAAAAGTAATAAGAAAAAAACACTTCTTTATCACTTTTCAATTTCTATAACTAATATTGTCGACAATCATATACCGTTATGTTTGTGTTGTGTATGTAATGACAGACAACAGAGATAATCTGTTGCAATTTTTCACCTAAGGTTCGATATTCATGCGGTAGAGTTGTTATTAGGAGTCCAAGAATCCACATGAAAGTTTCTAACCTTATATTTAAACAGTGTTATATGATAACAACGTCAAATTTCTGAAATTAGCCACCATATTGTTGTCAACCACAGGATTATACATTCAAAAACTGTATAAAAAGGTCTATATAATTTTAAGCCATTCAGTTCAGACAAATAGTCAACAACTGATATCCCATTTAGCAGAAAATAATTTGGCCCTTGGACAAATCAAGGTTGATATAGTTGGCAACAAAAAGAAGCAGATACGAAATCAGAGAATCCCAAGTAATCAGCACAAACAGAGTGTTGTTTTCAGACTGATATGGAATTTAGATTAAAATATGATTGCAACAGGGAAAAGGCAAATAACATTTTAAGATATAAAGGAAACAATTTGTTGAAGTCTTGAAAACCACCTACAAGCCTACAGAGTTTTATCCTAAAACCATGCTAAAATATAGCATGAATATGTTAACAGGGAAAAATACAACAGATGAATCAGAGCAGAAAGGACGCAGAGTATACAGAAATATTTATCCTCACACTTCACTTGTATGTCCTCATAGCTTCACTGGGAGAGGCAAACATTGGACACATGGACAGAATGGATGAAACTAAATTAATAGTGCAAGAAGAAATTGCATGTATCACTATAGATTGTCAGTCCTTCCACAGTATCACTCTCAATCTCACTTTACTTACCTTGTGATTTATTAAACTACTGCTAGATGATATGCACACACACACACAAAAAAAGATAACAGTAAGCCTATATCGGGTCCCTAATCACTAAATTAAGAAACGGATATATTTTTTTTCAAACGTAACCAAATGCCTTTACTTATGAACAATAAAATATGAGGTTGTATATTTTAAAGTTGAAAAATCAATTATTGAACTTTCCAATGAAAATCAATCATAAACCGATTGAATATCAATTTTATGAAAATCAATCGATTCTCTTCATTTTGAGGTATGGATACAAACAAAAACGGGGAAGTTGCGAATTCAAATCTAGCCTAAGCACTTGCAATATAGTTGATTTAATCGTCAACAATTGAAGATCCCAAACAAAGGATGAATTAGTCCGTCGCATTAATGCACTAAGGCGAGGAAATCGATCTAAGAAAAAGGAAGGAAGAAAATATGTGAAACGGAAATGAATAGGGGAGGTAAGACTTAGGGTTCGGAAAAATGAAAGAGAAATGAAGGGAAAGGGAAAGAAGTGACCTCTTTGGGATGGTGGAGGCACTCGAGGTAGTCTTCGCGGAGGAGAGCACAGTCTTTGGGCTCTCGGCAGCGAGACATGCACTCGCTGAAGTCCATCCAGAAATCGTAGCAGCGACCTTTGTTTCCGGTGATTCCCCAACCAGACGCCATCTCTCTCTCTCTCTCTCTCTTCCACCGATTCTTCACCAATTTCCCCTTCTGCTGATCTCCCTGATCCCTCTTTCCCCTTCTCCCAGGGCTAAATTCCTAAATTACCAAACTACCACGAGTTTTTTTTTTTTTTTAAGGTAACTACCACAAATTTTTAGTATATTTTTAACTAAAATATTTCTGACTTATTGGTCCTACATTTTTGCAAACTATTTTTAAATATATTTTTATTTTATTCTTTAATTTTTAAAATTTAACACTTTTAGTTTTTGTTTACTACTAACTAAGAATGATATGAATATCAGTAAACACATGAATCGATTAATAATAGCTATTTTCATTTAATTTATAATATTGAGTTTGAATCAAACGTAGTTATATTAAATATTTAAAGAAAATTGTTTTACGAGTTTGAGTAAAAAAATCTATAATATTTTAAAAAATTATGATTAGATTTTTTTAAAAATATATTATCCTTATTACATTATATGTCTTTTTCTTTATTCAACCTTTAATTTTTTTATATTAAAATTTTTATTTTTATATTTTTAAAATTCTTATGTATAACTTGATTTTATTTAATATAATAAAATATTTATTTTAACATTACAGAGTTTATAAATTGTCAAATAATAATTTAATATATTTAAGTTTAAAATAATTTAATATAATAATATACATAAAATATAGAAAAACTAAAAAAGTATAAAATCATGACAAAACGGAAAAAAAAAATATGAATAAAATATCACGTTTAAATATTATCATTTAATCTACAAGAGAACATGAATAAAGTTTAGCCCTACTTAAGTAATCAATTTATCAACAACACAAAAGTCTTTAAGTTTGAATATGATAGTTTTTATTGGCAAATTATGTAGAAGTGCTTCTATTAGATCTCCAGACTTATAATTACATTAAATATATAATTTCGTTAAACAAAAATCACTATAACTAATTATAATACTCATGAATTATATGAATTTAATTCTTATCATCATTGTTATTATAATAATAGAATATTACTTACAAATAGTTTTTTTTTTTAATTTTTAATTCACTGATAGTGTACAAGAATTATGAAAACAAGCTATATTTATATAACAAGACATACAATGAGTCTTTGTTTGTTTTTGTGAAAAACATTATGTAGGAATGAGAAAGTGTAAAAAAGAAAATTTTTGTGTTAAAATATTTTGTTTTATATGAGTGAAAAATCATATTTTTAATGGGGTTTACCACAAGCTTTTCTCACACAAAATATATGTTATAATACTTTTTATATTTATTGAAAATAATTAAAAAAACAATTAATAAAAATATTATATTATAATTTTCAATTTTTGTAAAAATAAAATTTTTATTGTTATTATAAAAATATTTGTTCATATTAATTACTTTTTTCTACTCTTTCTTCCATTCAGTAAAAGAAAATGTTTTCAATACTTCTTCTCTTTTTTCTATCTATCCAAATAACATATATTTCTCATCTTATTTTTTAATTATTTTCTATTTAATCCAAACAAAACAAAATAATAAAATACCTCGACAGCACGGGATGATAGATTTGTATAATGCACCTATATATGGCCTAACCTTAGAATCTAGTATTTGTCTTTTCAGTTAGGCTCATAATCATAATTTTTTCTCATCTTCTTTATATTGTCATAAGGAGGCAAAATCGATAGAGACCTCAAGTAATCAAACCCAAGATGAGGTATTTGTGTGCCAATCAGATTAATGCCCCACTCAGCCACCCACTCATCTTCTACTACTTCGCGTAATCGTAGCTATTGGAATGAAGCAGTAATTAGACCTTTAAGTACAACTGATGACAAAACGACACATTTCTCTTCTTGTTATGGGAAGGACTTGTGGAGATAAGTTCTGTACGTACAAACAATTAATGTCTCTAACAATTTAGTTTCACTTCCATTTTGATTTTGGCCTTTTGTTTTTAGTTTGATGAAATTGACAGTTATGGGTGTAAATTATCTCTGACTGCCATTGCTTGATCATTGTAATATTGATCGACATAGAAAGAAGAAGCTTTCACAATATGAACAAATGAGTTAAGTTATTGTTATCAAGACAAGTGCGAAACTCACCTTCCACTCACATGTTACTGACTTTTCCCCATCTATTTTAGTTCACCACCCATACCCCTTTTTTTAATTGCACTCACTACCCTCTTGCCTATGCAACAGCTCCCTCTAGAAAAAGTTCATAAAGTGAAAACATAACATGCTGCTTTTAAAGACCCTACCCTCAAAGCCAATCTCATTCTTCTCTAATCCACGCCTAGAACAGGAACTATAGTCATTCCTTACTCTTTTGTTCTATTCTTAACACTCTTAGCACCGCCAAACTAGCATCACAATAGCATTTTTTTCTTCCCTTCAACTTCTTCATTGTCATTCTGAAATGATCATTACAACACGCCTTATGTTTATGCTTGCATTGTTTCTTTCGCTACTTATAAACACTGGCCAAATGGTATTTGCAAAAGGGAGCAACGTTATAGAGGCTTGCAGTGTAACAAGGTACAAAAACCTTTGTGTCCACTCACTAGCACCTTTCTCTAAAGCTGCTGGAAGAAGCCCAAGCAAGTGGGCACGGGCAGGAGTGTCAGTGACAATAAGCCAGGTCAAGAATGTTCAAGCATATCTAGCAAAGTTGAAGAGGCAAGGGCATATGAAGGGGAGAAATAGAATTGCCCTTTCAGATTGTGTCGAATCTTTTGGCGTTGCCCTTGATGAGCTTCACATGTCACTTGGTGTGCTTAGGAAATTAAGCAGAAGCAAGTTTAGTACCCAAATTGGGGACCTCAATACATGGATCAGTGCTGCACTCACTGATGAAGATACTTGCCTTGACGGATTTCAAGGCCAAAATGAGAAACAAATTAAGTTGCTTCGGAAGCGGGTTCAGAATGTGTCTCACATAACCAGTAACGCTCTAGCTCTTGTCAACAAACTTGCCACTACAGGTCTGGGAAGCATCACCTATCCATAGAAGTTTTGAAATGAGTAAAAGATATATAAATAGGCAATGAACAAGATCCTACAAATACTAGAGAATCATAAGAGGTTTTACTTATGTCTAAGATAATCCTGTTTCTTTTCAATCGTCCAGAAAACGCAACCATTTGTGAAAAAATAAAGAAAGCCTAGCTAGGACGAGATATCCGTGGATGTGTTGTTCAACAAGAACTATGGATTGGATGCTGCTTACTCTTTGAAAATATGACATGCAATATCGAAAGGGGTCAGTTGAAGTTCTTTTGTTTCTTTAGTTCACAATAATATCCATTCTTAAACAAGCTACTGGTGACAACTGACGAGATTATAATTCATTCATTTTCTGAATGTATTATTTAATTTGGTTTGATAATCGGATCGCGATCAACTATTTATATGTTTGTGTGTGTGTGTGAGTGTAATACTTTTTATTTTTTTTTATCATTTAAAATTTAGGATTTTTTTAGAGTTTAAATTATTGTAATCATTTGAAATCGAAATTTAAATTACCATTAAAACTAAAAAAAAACTAATTGAGACTGAATTAAAGCAAATGATAAACTAAGAAAAAAGATTATAAAATGAATTAAGATTTTAAATAAAATATAAGGGATTAAAAGTTAAAAATGAATTTTTTTTTACTTTAGGTGTTTTTAATCAATCATAAAAAGATAAATTAGGTGATTTTATTTTTTGAAGACACATAATTGCACTCATAATATATTGATAGACTTCACTTTTAACTTTCAGGTATGGGTTTCAAATATTATATATTAAATTTTGGAAATAATTGATAAACTATTTTCCTATAATTGAGTTTTTCCAAAACAAAAATTTTAAAAATCTATAAAAATATATTTAATAATTATTCAATTTTCCTAAGAATATTATACTACAAGAATTTTTAATAATATATTTATATTCCATAGACAAGTATAGTAATTATATAATAAAATATTACAACAAGTTTATAGTTCTTCTTTTTACTTATCAAGGTGATAAAACTTATTTTCAGATTTTTATAAATTAATATTCTAAAAAAGTTACATTTTAATAGAAAATTGGCCTCTTGTACCAAACGCAAAATCTTTTTTATTTCTATGTTCTTTTTAGATGTTAAAATGTTTTTTTATATAAAATACATCATTTTAACTCCTCACTATTTAATGCAGAAATTATTTCTATTTTTTTCTTTTATCAGTGAGCACTTCTTTTATAACAAATATTTATTTTTTTTCTAACAAGTAGCATTGATTTATTTTATTCATTTTGAATTTTTAAGATATTATACAAATTAATAAATAAACTTATTTGTATTTATTTCTATAATTTTTATAATAGAATATAATTGTTGAAAATAGAAACATACCTCATTATATTGTATTCCTTATTTTGTCACATGTCTCATAAATGTTTGTATTAAATTGAATTAATATTTGTATTTTTTTAGTTATCTAATTAATGAAAGTTCTTAATTTGATACTGAATTATCCTCAATCAATGCACATTTTGCTTTACTTTTGTAACAATTTGGTCCACCATTGACCAGACAACCATGGGAGAAAGATAGGCACACTAAAACATTATATATAGCTAGATGCTTACAATCCCTACCATAATAAAATTACAATCTAAATTGCTGAGTGGTAGAGCAAGCGACTTCCTTTCAACCCACAGAGATAGCTTTTTCGGTTTGTTTGTTGTTCAATCTTTGCTGGTGATGCAATTGGTGTCAATTTCCCAATGCCATAGTTATAAGTCTCAATTGGTTGTAAGGATGCATGAGCAGCATTATGGGTGTGCTTGTCTAGCCATGCTATAATGTCTGCAAAGACATTTTCTATGTTCTCATCAGGCTCCCCTGATGTTAAGCCATGCCACATTCCTGGGTACAACTTTATAGTCCTATCCTGGCTACTGGCTCGCTCATATAATGCCCTGCTTACTTCTGGGTCTGTCACTCTATCTGCTTCTCCATGCAATACAAAAAATGGTAGGGTCACCTGTTCAAATTAAACTCAATCAATGGATCCACCGTAAATGCATGTAATAAGACCCAATTTTAGTGAATTTATGGATAAGTTTTATATATATAAACAATATTTTAGTTTGAGTGAACTTATAAATTAGTGTTATAAAAAAATAAGTATAAAAAATAAATAAAATTTTTTTCATAAATAAAAAAAAAGTTATTTCTGACTTATAAAAAAATTTACTCATTTTTTATATTGATTTTTTTTCTCATAAGAATTTCTCTTAAAGTTTATCAAAGTTAATATAAAAAATAAATAATTTTTTATAAATTAAAAATAATTTATCTCTTGTTAAACAAAATTCTAAAAAAATTGTAGAAATTTGATTCACATTGTTACTTATTTTTGTCCGATTAAAAATATTTATTGAGAAGTTTATTCAAATTGAACTAATTATATTTAACAAGTGATAAATGGTAATATGATTATCAAGTTGATTCAATATAAAAAAAAAAAAAAAGACGCAAATAACCTTATATAAGTTTTCTTCAAGGTTCATGCTGATTCTCAGCATTTCTAATGCTGTTTTTAATCTGGGTTTGTCTTGGTATATCAACGTGTTTTTCCTTATCTGCAACCACCGTTCGAGGAAAAGGCGTGTTAGTTAACACTCTCTAAATCGGCAAGATATTAAGTCATTTATGTAAACCTCAATTATAGTACAAACTCAAAAAGAATTTGTAAGCATCGAGAAACAAGGTTAAACCTCACCCTTTCACGTTTGGCAGGGTCTTTGAAGGCTGAATTGATGACATCTTTTGTGGGAACTATCTTCCACTTTGGTATAATATCTTCTACTTTAGTCAACATGTTGATGACCACAGGGTGTGGTTTCACCTTCTCTGATATCTGGCTTATTGTTTCAACATTTGAATAAGCCGTGTTTCCATTTTATGTAGGAAAAATAACTACTGATCAATTGTTGGAGTTTATATAGTCAATCAAATTATTTTTATAACATTAATATGATTAGTATTCCTATACTTCAAAAAAATAAAAGGAAAACTTTTAAAATTTAGAGTATAATAATAAAAGATATTTATTAGTTTCATACCTTACACATGGGTGCAACAAGAACCGCACCGTCCCAGAATGAAGGGTTCTTTTTATGTAAAAGTAGGCTCACAGCCCCTCCCATTGACTCTCCATACAAGAACTTAGCCTTTCCCTTGTATTCTTGGAGCTCTAAAATACACAAATGAACCATGAAATTTAGCTAAATAGTGAAAGGTTTCAACAGAAAGTAATGCTACCATTGTCGAGAATTTAAATTCCTACCGCTAATTGACTTGAAAAAGTCATAACAATCGTTAACGATGTTATCAAACTTCTTTATGTAACAACGAGCACCTTCAGAGCGTCCATGTCCTTCATAATCGATACCATACACTGCATATTTGGCACATGCTAGCCGTACTCCACATTCTACACCAATCATGCAAGCAAAGCAATAAATTATACAATTGTTATAAACAAATTTAAATAGTATACCAATATTTTGTTTAAAATGGTAAATTGAAAATTTATACTTCTGATACGAGCAACATTTCTATTGGGGGGTTTTTAAAAATAGTAAATTTTCACTCTTGTCAAATCCATCTAAGAGGGGAGAGCAGAAAAAATGTTGTAGCATAATGTGATCACCCCAGACCACTACCATTGGCATGATATCTATGTCTCCCCATCCACTTGCCTAGCATGGTCCACTCAGATGAAATGCAAGAAACATTTTCAGTCCATCACTTTTTGTGGTGGAGAAAAATATAAGGACTATACTTTTTCAACATTTTCTTTAACTCAGTTTATGTTACTTGTTGAATCATATATGTATTTCATTAAATATTATAAAAAAAAATCATTATAATTTTTTTTTTGTTAATATACCTCTTTCATTTTTAAAATATTGATTAAAAAATATGTTGCCTCTTGTGTGGTGGCTCTATACTTCCCAAAAAAAAATTACTTAAAAATTTAGTTTTTTTTTTAATTTAAAACTAACAGAGCTACCTATTCTGTCATCGTAGAGCTATGAAGTCTTTGTTTAATCACGGTAGATCTATGTGGCATGCACCAATACCATCATCCTTTTTGGTTCAACTGTGTCCATTGCGTGGCTAATTAAACTATATATGGCATAATTATACATAAAATATTCGAAGGCGTACCAAACAAATTGCAATAAATCTCAATTTCAGAGGTTATCATTTTGGAAGAATGACAAAGGCAGCAAAATCAAACCGACGCTGATGACACGCAAAATTATTGGTGAACAAATTATTTTAGCTTTAAAAAAATAATCACTGGATGGGTGGTTGCAAGATTGGCATCTGATTGAATTATCTGCATTCTATTCTATTAGGTACATTTGATTTCCTATTATTAGAATAAGAAATTAGAAAAAATAACTGTACACTTTCTTTTAAAAAAATCACGTGAGATTTTAATATGGAGGTTCAACCACTAAGGAATAAATGTTCATGTCCTTGTAGCGATGTTCAACCACCTACGACAAAATATAACTTAAAACACAAACATATATATCACATTGGAATTTTAAGAGATTTTAGCCAATGTTAAATATCTACCCATAAGATAGTGTTACAAGTAAGACTCTTATTGATTCTACCTTTAGAGGCCACTAAAATCAATTTTCTAGAAAGTGAAAAAAAAAAATCAGCGTTATTTAACGTGTATTTTGACTTGTGCTTATAATTAAATGACCATTGATTTTAATCTAAACTCTTTCGTTCCCTTGAGAGAGAAACAAACATGTATTAAGGTTAATATTTGGTAATAGGTCAATTTGATCTTGAACACAGAATATTCTAATAAAACTTAAATCCTTATATCACAATTTAATTTGTCAACTCAATCACACACACGAGTATTTCACATAAAGTTTTATGCATGGAATTTTCATATCATTTTCTTTAAACAGGCAATAACATACATGTAAAAAATGGTTAAGGGAGCTTGGAAAAGCAAGATCATTTATTACCTCTCATGAAGCGACTGCATTCCATACCATAACCTGCAAGAAATAATTAATGAAGCCGAAGTAAAACCTCACCTACTAAGAGATAGACAAATAAGGAGAGAGATTGATAGAGAGAAACAGAAGTGAACCATGACAAAGGAAAACCAAGGCCTTGGGAGAACGCAAAGGTAACCAGTTGCAGGTGAAGAGTTTCACTCCTCTTGAGTTCCTCCTGTATTCCTGAAGTTACATACAATTAATACAATCTCAATATTAGTTGACGTAACCACAACAAAAAGAATAATCACCTCTTGATACTCAAACTCCAAATCCATCAAAGAGAAGCCAATAACCGTGCACCAAGTGATGATTGATCTGCAAAAGGCACTTCTTGCTTAATGATTATGAACTCTAATGCTCGTGAAAGTGATTGTAGTGATGAAAGCTGTTAATTTTACGAAAAGGAATAGAAGAAAATTTCTGGTTCCTTAAGAATAGCAAAAAAAGAGAGCGGTATAGGAGAGTGAGTGAGAGAATTAGAGAATAGAAAGATAAGAGTATAGACACGTCCTTTTGAAAACCAATGGGTAGTGTGTTTCTTATATATACATGAATTGTTTTTCTAAATTATATCCACTCAATAATTTTTCGTAATTTTCTATTATATCCAAGAGATGTATTATTTTTATAGTAAATTTTCATAATTTTTTTAATGATAGCACTCATCTTACATTTCACTCTCTATTATTTGTAAAAAAATAAATAAAAGATTTATGTACAAATGCAATTTCACTATAATTAATGAATATATAATTTTTTTAAACAATTAAACCTCTCAATTTTTTAATTTAAATTACATGTATATCTTTTCAAGGAGACAATTTTATTTGACTCAAATAAAATTAACTATTGACAATATTTTTTCAATTTTTTAACATAATAATATTTATTAAAATCAAATTTAAATTTATATATTAAGTTAAAATAACTCCATGCTAATTAATTTGTGTGCTTGGTGATACCTAATCAATAGTTTGCACATACATATCATAATACTTTATTTAATTAAAATGTTAGTGACACTGTGATCGTTCTTTAAAAATCTCATATATAAAAATAAACTAAATATAAAATAGCGCATTTAAAGATATTAAAGTCTAGCCCATTAATAGTATGTTTTATTTGGTAAAATATTTAACTTGCATATAAATGATTAATAATGTCACTGCTTTTTATTAATAATTAAATGATGTAGATTGATAAAAGAATTTAACTCTTTAGTTAAAAAATAGTTAAAAGCTTTAATTATTCTAATTCAAATTATCTATCAGTTAAAGTAACTTACACATTTAAAACTTTCTAATTTATTTTTATGTGCAAAATACTTAAAATAAATCAACGTTCTCACCGACAAAGAAAAATATGAAAGTGAAGTTAAGGTTTTTATTGTTTTACCAAAAAGATGGAGAGTAATGAGGTCAGGTGAGCGTTGAAATGAAGGAGCTCATTCCGTATCTGCAGAGAACTTCCCAAGTTTCAATCCCTTGTCTTCTCTCAAGTCCCAGTTTCAACTTTCAACATTAATTTGTGGATCTACTTACATACACGCACACCATCATTTAATATCTTCTTCTCATCTTTTTCCAGAGCAAAGCTATAATTCCCAGACATGTGTGAAACCAGATATGATATTTATAAAATTATATAACAATTTCTACAATAAAAAAATAAACACTTTTCTCTACTCTTTTTTTATCACACTAGTCATCCTATGCTGCATTTTTGTTGTATAAATACGATACCTCGTGTGAAAAACTCAAAAAGAAAACTATTGCATACATAATTTGTGTTAATATAATCATTATGCATAATTTGTAAATTATTTTCTGCAACTATTGTCCAATTATAATTATTAATGTGTGTGTAAGAATATGTACATAGATACATATAATGTATTGGGAACTAGTAAACTTTTAAAATTCGTAATCTGGATAATATAATCTAGCTAGACCAAGAGTGTGTAGATGCATGATAATGCTTTGTGTTGATTCGTGTGCCCAAGAAGAAGTGATGATATTGCTAAATTGTTTAAATCAAAATGTTAGTTGCATAATATTTATGGATTCAACGTGAGAAAGAATAATATGGGCATAGGATATCGATACATGCACCAATGCACGTTACCCATACTTTTTACATCTTTGGACGAATCATGAAAATCACTTGCAGAATGTCCAAAGACGATTTGAAGAAAAATATTTATATTTATATTTATATTTACATTGATCATTGTTTGAAAAAATGTCTATTTATGTATAGTACAAAAAACAGAAACATCAGCAACGATCGAGCTAAATTAATATCGGTATACGTCTTTAAACTTTTATATGTTATGTATTGTGTTGGGGACGTGTGATTCAACCAAATACTATATTAGTGAGTTTTTTGTAATAATATTATTAAATTAAAATAAATATAAAATTTAAATCAAGATTAAATTTTAAAAGATTAATACAATTTTTAAAAAAAAATTACTTCGAACCCATTTTATTGATAACCAAATGAAAATCTTATTTTGATAACCCATAAGCTCTGCTTTATATCACAAACCCAAAAAAAGGTACAGATCACCAAACACCCACCTACTAATCTTAGGCTATTCTTTTTCTATATGGGGTAGTTATGGCTAATTTCTTTGATTAATTGTGATTGTAAATTTATGAGCAGAGTCACGAAACATAATTACACAAGAGATTCCTTGAGGTTTTCAAAGTTGTGTGGTAGAACTTGATAAAAATTCCACAGAACTTGAATGTGGATGGATTCTCTTGTATTATGGGACAGGATTATATATGTTTAAATTTTATATTAATTTTTCAAATTTTATATATTAATAACAATAAAACCTTAACGATTAGCATAGAAGTGTAAGACCTTGTTGTATTTACATGTGTACTATTTTTTTTCCACCATGATCCTAATCCATTCAACCTACATAGAAATAATTATGATTATTTTATTTTGCAAATCCTGTTTGAATTAGTGTTAAAATGGCTGTAATTTATTTTAGACGTGAAAATGAACAACTGTAAATTTGTTTTTGCATAAAATGAAGTATGTTGAATGATATTAACAAGTATTCACTTTAAACCAAATTAGCACAGTATTAAGAAGATGGTCATAATTATTTGTTTCAACAATGGCTCCATTGCGTAATTATTCATTATTGTATCTGAAAAGAATAAAAGCTTCGATTCGATTTGTTGCTGTTGTTTGACTTTGCGTACTCAAGACATCAGAGAGCAGATTGTGATATCTAGATGCATTAGTTGGACACCAAAGGTTTAGTGTTTCGTTTCAAAAATATAATTAATTTGAGTTGCTTGCTACGGTATTAAAGTATATTTTATACTTTTGTTTTTAATTGATAATCATGATTATTGTAATATTTTAGAAGTTAAAAAATAATTATATTTTTTCAGATAAACTATTAAATTTATTATCTATTATAAATATTTAATATAAAATTAATAGTAATTATTATTTCACGCATAAAAAATATAAAATATCTTCAACCTACCATGTAAAGTACCTTCATTTGAAAGAACCGCTTATCAGGAATTCATCTTTAACTGAGTCTTTGACATCAATTCATATTCGATTGAGTACACTTTCCTACCATCAATGAAAATATAAGGGCCGATTAGTTTCTCAAATTTTTTATTTATTTTTAATTATAAATTTGTTTTTCTATCTTTCTTTAAAAATGACAGGAATAGATTAATTTATAGGTAAATTTAACGGTATTATAAAAAAATAGTGTTATATGCTTTTGTATATATAAAATAATTGTAATCGTTAATTTTAGTGATAAAGTTAATAGTATATTTAAAAACAACGTAAATATTTTTTAATATCTTAATATAATTTAAAAAGAGAATTTAATTTACCCATCAAATTTAAGAACACCGTGGGAAGCTCTACCATTATAACTCCCTCTCTCTTTCACTGTAATATGGTTCCTACAAAGGATGATATGTTTGGCTGTTTGAAATTCATAATAAAATTTATTTGATTTTATTACAAAATTTTATTATGATTTGTTTTTTTAAAATCTATCAAGTCTAATTTTAATTATTTCTACTTTTTTTTTAGCTTTTTCTTCTTACTCCTCTTTTCCCTTTGTTTTCCAACAGTGAGTTTTAGTGACCCATAGCATCCTTACTCGTTTCCACATTTCCACTGCTAAAGTTTTTCACGAAGTGTATCAATTATTTTCCCAAACTACAATTGATCAATGAATCTTTCTTCTGGAAAAGAAAAAAGAAAATCATCAATTTGAATTTTGACAATGCAAGTGAAGAAAGACACAGCAACAGCAGAAAAATATTACGAAAGAGGAATTAACAATTTTTACTAGCAAACTGAAACAAAAAGAAGAGAGTTAAAGCAATTTATATTATACTTAAGGATTGCTATATATTTATAGTAAGAACATAACAATACTAATGAATTAATAATTGTTTCTATTTTTTATACGTGCAGCACAATGATGAAATATTGTGTGCACATGTGAGAACCGAAAGAAGAAGAAGAAATAAGTTGTAAAGATATAAATGATTGATAAGAATATGAGAAAAAAAAAAGAAAAAAGAAAAAAAAGTCGTCAAGAGAAATTTTATTTAACAATTAATAAAATATCACATATTGTTGATTTATATAAATTACCAAATAAAGGTATAAAAAATTTAAATAAAAAAACTAAATAAAACATCTAAATTATAAGAAAAGTATTTCATATTTTTATTTAATTACTATAATATATATATATATATATATATAGTTACAAATTGTATAAATTAATTATATATTATATAGTTTTTTTTATTAGTTGTTGAATGAAATTTAGAAAAAAATTTAATTGGAACAATCAAAATATTAAAAAAAAACAATTAAAATTAGAAGATCAAGATCCCATACAAGCTTAAAAATTAAAAGTGAAATTAAATCTAAAAAATTATTTTCGAAATAAAGGAAACGTAGGGTCTTTGCTCAACTTTAGGAAAAACCAGTGCAGCTATCCCTTTAAAATTTAACATCAAAATATCCTTTCCAATTTTATGTTAATTATAATAAATACGTTAACCAGTGAATCAAGAAACAATGAAAAATAGAAGTCAATGCATTCATATAACGAAGTTCAGAAACACGTTAAAGTATATTTTCAGAAGACAAGGAATAGTTCAATAAAAGTTCCTTTAGATCAAAGAGATTTATTATACTTAAATATTTTTATTAATCTTCCTACTATTTTTTATGCAGTATGCATTATAACTTTTATAATATTTTTATTTAATAATTAAAATTATAAGTATAAAAGCTAAAAATAAAATAAAAGAAGAGACAGAACGAATGACGGGAGTAGAAATGTCACATAAATAACAGGTTCTTTGCCACACTACTCCTGAGCATATATCAATTGGAAAAAAAATAATAAATTGAAGCTAGACGTGAAAATAATATAATCAACAACAATTCTACGATACAATGAAAATACAGATAAGCCTCTGTCCTATATTCTATTTCTTCTTTCTTTTCCTTAACCAAAATTGTTTTTCTTTCTTGTATACCCCGTGCTTTCGAGCTAAGTATACTCTGCACCTTTTTTTCTTTTAACTTAGCCTTTTTCTTGTAACCTCGCAAAGTGACTGAAAACTGCGAATATTTTCTAGAACTGAATCGGCACCAAAACTTCCTGCCCGTTAACTTTTTCCTCCCACCTTTGTCTTTTTCATGGGTTTGCCACCATTGCCTTTATTTTTATTTTTCTTAGATTTCTGCTTATCTCCGCTCTGTTGCTCTAGTCTTTCATGAGGATTCACTTCTTCAAACTCTACTGGTTTTATAATAACACCTGGTTTCTTCACCACCTGCACAAAGAAGAGTACAATTACAAAAGAGCTAGAGAAAATAGCCATGCAACTTAACCGCAATTTATCTAAATAGTTTCACTTGGTAAAAAGTCAAGAACCCGCTAAAACCCACAAACAAAGCCTAATAAATTAAGGTTTTCCCTTCACTAATAGGGAGCAGGACGGTCTATAAATACTATTTTTTATTAATTTTAAATTTTAAATAAAGGCTATAGCAGGTCAGCATTATATTATAACACAAGGAAAATTCCAAGGATAATCAGTTTGCTAATGAACTGTTCCGAAACACTTACTTCAGGCCGGTTAAGAGGACCAATAGCAGTTGCCGGATTAAATTCAGGTCCTATGGGCACACGCATGCTCTGTTCAAAGACCTCTTTGGAAGTAAAAGGGAATGGTATCGCTTTAGTATGTAGTTTCTCAGCCTGCCATATTCAAGAGGAAGTACAAAATTAAAACCACCTCAAGTTACTTGATAGAAAAAACAACACACACAAAATAAGAAGTAGTCAGCAGATAATTAGAAGCATATAGCAGTTGGAAACATGACTCAAGCCACTATATTACAAAACTGAAATTAGAGCATGAAGGTCTTCCAGAAAAAGTAATTAAAGCAAGTAGACAACACCAAAGAATAGTAAATGAGAGCGAGTCCATGTATTAGAGACAATAGGAGGTAGGAGTATTAAAAATTGTAGCATTATATTATCAATGTGTTAGATCTTGTGATTTTTAATATACCTACTGTGTGTAGGTTCTTATTGTATGTCTAAGGGCACGCGTTAGACAAATCGTTACTAATATTACTACAAGTACAAATCTTCATGACGTCAACTACCATTGCAAACACCAAAATTAAAAATATGCCAATCCAGAATAGATCCTCAAATTTCTTATAAGAAATGAATTATTGCATGCATGGAATCAAGTCGACATCTATAATCTAACAGGAATAAGAAAAGTCCTATCTTATTTAATGACACTAACCTTCTTATCTATCTTCTCAGATATAATCACATTTTTTAGCTGAGCATCCTTCCTCTTTTTGAGGGCTTCTGCCCTTTTTTCCTGGGCATCTTCATGTTTTTTCAGTATCCAAGATGGTAAGCCTTTCTTCTGCTGTATATGTGTCCATTGGCCCCACCCAGGAAGTGATAGAGGCTTTTCTGGCGCAGGATTTTCTTCGTTGAGGATCTCCTGCTTGTCCTTTTCAAAATCATCTTCAACGTCATCACCCGCAAAAGCTTGCCGTATGAGCTCCTCTTGAGAAGGAAGTTCATAAGGCACTTTAGATACAGAAGACAGAATTCCATCTACCATTTGTCCACTATCCGTATCACTGTCCTCTCCAAATTCCTTATTAGTATCCTAGGGCATAAATGGACAAAATATAAGGATAAACCAACAGTGCACATTATTTTCTTAACAAACAGAATGGGTTCATACTTTTATATCTTGCCTAACAGGCCCTACAAGCTTTGAAGACTTTTTGATATTTGTGCCTTCTTCATTTTTGTTTTTTGCCTGCTCATCATCACAAATACATTAGTCCAACATAACACCCATTTCATATATGGAAAACATTTTTTTTTTAGAAAAGAAAGAGATTAAAAATATTCAAACAAAACATTAGAAGCATTAGAACCTTTTTCCATGTATCTGATGCAAATATCGAAACTTCATATGTCGTTTTTGGCCCAGGATTTTTAATAATATCATCAAAATTCTGTGAACAAAAAATGCATAAAATGTACCAAATTTAATGAGCAAGACATAAACTATAGAAAATGTTCAAAAATAAGAATCTCGTCACCTTAAAAACAGATTCCTGGTGAACATCAATGTCTTCTTGAATTAAGAACGAATCATTTTTTACATCCTTATGCAAAAGGTCACCTCCCCCATTCTCTATGTTGCCACTTTCGCTGATCCCTAAGCCATCTTCACTATCGCTGCCACCATAAAACTTATCTGATTTCACCCTATTTTCGGTATCAGATACCGGGGCTTTAGCTGTTCCAAATACTCTTCTTCCACTTGTAGAAGCAGCTTTTGAATCTCCTGAGCCACCAGAATTCTCCACCTTCTTCAAAGAATCTTCATATTCTTGAAGAGCAAGGTTGGCTTCTTCAACAGCTGCCTCTTTTCTTTTCTCCAATCCACGCCTCTACAACAGAAAAATTCAAGGGCAGCCCACAAACCAATAAGAAAAACTTCCTAACTAACAAATCTCAATCCCTAAATTGGATACTAGAGATTATATTAAAACAAAATGAACATAAGCCAAAGGTAAAGAAAGAAGAGAAAAGGAATGGATATTACCATAAAAGGTAAAGAAAGCAATCCTGACTTAGGAACCTCATCCTCTTCCTCTAACACTTTCATTGTTTTATCTTTTGCTTTTGCCAAAAGCTTGTACGCCCTATCTTGATCAGAACCAGTAGAGTTCTCATCTCCATCATCCTCATCACTAGTATCATCACTGCTACTGCTGCTACCCTTCATAGAGTGCATTTTTCTAGTCAATTCAGCATGCCTTTGAAGTTGTTCAGCTATGGCAGCACGTGTTCCTTCATCTTGACTATTTAAACCACGCTGTAAAATACGCTTAGCCCACCGATTCTGGTTTTTGTGTTTCAGAGTCATGCGTTCCTGCACCAAATTAGAAAGAGAGAAAAATATTAATAGAAATAATTTTCCTGTTTTAATCAACAAGATACTAGATATGTCAGTAAACATTGCTAAGTAAAATGTCCCCTGCTCTTATTTCTTGAGGTATGATGATATACCTCTGCCCTTAGACGCTCCTGTTTCATGGCATATTCTTCAGCAGCTTCAGGATCCATTTGAATCCGAGAAGCTTCTTCCTTTGATCTATCTTTCTTCAATAAACGATGAAAGGTTCTGGACTTGATCTTTTTAATATGCTTTGCCTTCAATTCATGACGAAAAAGAAGGCTCCGCATTTTAGCAATCCGATTTTGCCTATCTTTCTCATCTTCAATAGAGACCTGTCAAGCATAATAAACTACATAAAGCAATTGAAAAGCAGCCTTACATCAATAGTTCCATTCATATGCATAAAAAAAAATGGGCTAAAAAGGATGCTCAGTAAACAAAAATGAAGGCAGTAAGGCACATATGGAACGTTGTATGGCACTTAAACTGAAACTGGGATAAATTAAAGGCATTACTCCAACTGTGTGATTTATGTTTTGTCTACCTCCATATAGTTGCCAGAATCATAAGCAATGATACTTCAGCTTATGTAATGAGTAAAGAATTGAAATTCTATTCATCCATGTTATTAGATTTTTCCACACGGAAAAATAAGAGGGTGGAAGTGGAAGAAAAGGTATATTGAAAATCCAATCACCAACCCCCCCCCCTTCCAAAAAAAAAAAAAAAACATCAAAAAAGAAAAAACAGTTCGCACTAGAATTCACAACAATATCCAAGCACTTTAATTTAACAAAAAAAAAATGTTTGATTGCTTGAAACTAAATAACTTCCAACAATGACAAACCTCAATTGATTCAACTTTACCAATAACCAATCAAGACATTTGTATCATACATCAAAATAGCATGGGAATAAGAAAAAGACAACTTGATCAGTGCAGTCATACCTTGTTCATTTCAAGAAGCCTAGAACCATCCTTTTTATGAGCTTCCATAACTTTGTCATCATGAACCAGTGCAGCTATTTTCCTCTCAAATTCAGTTCTAGGTTCAAATTCAGAAGCTATTGCTCCTACAGTTGAAAACTTCAAATCTACATGTTCATCAAAGAAAAGAGTTGGTGCCTCTCTATTTCTCTGAATAATGTGCTGCCACTTTGTGACATCTTTTTTTGATATTTCATATGCTGCCTTCCTCTCTACCTTCACCTGAGCAGTTTTTGAAAGTGGTGCATGAATAGTTCTAGTATTTTTTTCAATTTGTTGCATTCTCTTCCTAAGTTTTCCATAACCAGGATTTTCACGAAGAGGATTCAGAAGGTCCTCAATGCTAATACGTCCATCACCATCCACAACATCACGGCTAGGATTATATTCAGACTCCGGATACAGCTCTGGTATAACAGTGTCATTCATCCTCCTCTTTTTCTTATTCTCTGCATCATATTTAAAATTTACAAGTATATCATATCATAGTCAGGAAAACACAATAGACATGGCAACAATAGCAGGATTCTCTCTCAGAACCATTCATATAAAAAAATTGCTTTTGCATTCTTCCACACATCTCCCAAAAGCCAAAATCAAAGCAGTATGTCACCTTAAATAACTTTTTGACAATTTCAATTTAAATTTTACATAGATCGTTCTCTTGAAATATATTATAGACCAATTCTACAAAATTTCATATAATTTCAAAACTAATTTATATTTCATGGCATCACTTTATTTTAACACATAATTATTATTTAAAAAATAAATAACTTTCTACAGATAGATTACATATCTATTAATGTTGAAATTATCAAAAATTGGGTATACATGATTCTCAAAATAATATCATATGATTCGATGGTTGGATCAATAAATTTTTAATATTGTAACATGTTAATAAATGTGTGATGTTAAAAACTACAATGCAAAGTTAAAAACATCATATGCATCTCCAATAATTATTTATGTTTTCCAATCAATAGAGAAGAAAATTGATCACGTGACTCTAAGTTCTAACATAAATAATGGATAACATAAAAGTTTGACAATTTTCATACCTTCAAAAGCCTCACTTGGCATACCGGTAATTCCTTGCAGCATCCTTGCATGCCTTCCATCATCCTCCTCTCCAGAATCGTCACTCAGGGCATTTTCATTACCCTTTGTCCCAATGTAATCATCATCATCCTCATTTTCATCATCAGATTGCACATTCTCATCCTAAAATACAAAATAAAACATTAATGACAATTAACCAGCATAGATATAGTGGATTAGTTAAAATATAAATTTAACCATCAATGAAACAATCCATTCTGAGGGTAATATTCCAAAAGTATCTGAATATATGGAACTTAGAGAGCACGTAAGACTTTCTTTGATATGGTATTTCTTCTCTTTTTTTTTTCCTAGTTAAGATCACTTTCACACCAAAAAGCTCCTAATATACGAAAGCATCAATGATAGTGAAAATCATCTGCAGAGCCAAATCCCTTTATCCCCTCTCTCAATCCCTTCTTCCATAGTTTAGGAAACACTTAAAGTTCCAGTGAAAAGTTTATATTAATAGAAAAAAACAGAAAAAAAAAAAACCTCGAATTCCTGAGAAAGTTTGTCGTCGTTGACAGAAGCAGGGTCGTAACGCTTGTTTTTGGTGGACTCCTCCTCGGCTCGTTCTTCCTCGTATTCGTAAATGTCATTGTCGTCATCGGAATCAATGGTATTGAACGAAGTGGTGGGATTTAAACGGTCAAGCTCTTTTCGCAGAGAAGAAGGCAAATGAGGACCTCTCTTCTTGTATTGAGTGTTGGAGTTCCTCTTCGACTTGTGTCTTCGCCGGTTTCCTTCCTCCCTCTCTTTGCGCTTCTTTTCCGCCATAGCTGTGGTTTTCTGAACGGCGTCTACGGTGTTTGCATCCAAAGAGAAGATACAACCTATTATAACCCTACTTCAACTTCTATTTAATTTCAATAGATAAATTAATTTTTTAAATCAAAACTGTTATAACTACAAATATATATATATTTTTTAAATAATACTACTAATTTAACAGTTTTTTTATTTATTATGTGTTTTAATTTAATAAAAAATTAATAAAATCAACGTTATAAATGGTTATTATTTATTTGTTTGTTGTTATTATTTTATCTTTCAAAATATATAATACGATTATTTTATTTTTATATTAATTAAAAATGTTATTAATTTAATTTGTAAAAAAATATTATTTATTACGTAAAAAATTAACCACAAAACAAAATATTCATTATTAACGATGTAATTACGATGGAATCAGAAAGTTGAAAATTAATATCTTTACAGATTTAACATTTGATGTTAAAATCTAAATTAACACACAGTGTAAATATCTATAGATAATAAATTTAATCAAAATTCATTAACAGTATAAAAAATTTACATTATCGTCTCATTATATTTGTTATTGTAATTAAATTTTGTAATTTTTTTAAAAAGTCGTTCCATTAAGTATTGTGTGGATATCGAAATTAAAATCATAAAAAAGTTAAATTTTTAAAAAACTTAGACATTAATAACAGTTGTTTATTCAAAGTTTATGTTAACACAAAATGCAAAACTCTCTGTAATATGTTTTTATTTAAATTTTTTATAGTATGTGATATTTATATTACTCGAATTTAACATGTTTTATGTAAAACAAAATATGGAAAAATTTACGATTTTGTATGATTATAAAATTAATTTAGTATAATACATTCATAAAAATTAATTAAATATAAAATGAAGTTTTATGTATCATATTAAATATGAATTAAATTTTAAACTTCTACTTAAGATTATGTTCGTTAAAATTGATCCAAGTTTAAAGCCCCGAAGATAGGTTTTTGAGTTCTGAAATTTCATACATAGTTTGTTTATAAAGTGAAAATTTTACCCTTTAATTTTTATGAAAATGTATTATTATATATTTTAAAGTAAATTAATAATAAATATATTTTATTTTATAAACAAAATCACTTTAAAAATCTTTATCCTACCTACTTGTCGTCTGACTTAGCATCAAATTCAAAATCATATTTTTATTACAATGCGAGTTTAACAAATTAAACATATAAATAATTTGAATTTGAATATTTGCTTTTAAAAATAAAAATACACCGTTTCTCGATTTACGTTGAATCACATTTACGTTTAAATATATAAAAAAGCTCTACAAAATAATTCAAATTGAATTATATAACATGTCTCAAATTATAGATAAATATAAAATTAACGACAGACCCTTTTACTTTTTTATCCTCATTGTTAAAGAACTTAAAAAAAATCTAAAATTCTTTTTTTCTATCGCTAAAAGTTTTAAATCAACAAACAAAATTGTTTATAAATATCTTAACAACAGATTTTGTAAAATAATTAATCGAAAGTATTTTATTTCTAAATAAAAATAAAACAACTCTTAATTTTTATTTTTATCAATTTTTATTATTTATTAAATTCAAAAAATTGATTAATTGAATAAAATATTAAACAATTTATAAGCATAATTTAATTATTTTTTAAACAATCATTCCAATTCAATCTAAAAATTAGAGAAATTGTTCATGAATAAAAAAATAAAAAGATCTAAACACTAAAACAAAAACTATTATAAAACAAATATGAAAAACTACAAAAGAAAAAAAAAATTTCTTAATTTCAGATATAAACATTAATTTGAACAAATCCTATACTTAAATATTAAAATTAAAAAATATATATATTTAGATATTAAAAAATGTTTGATTAACTTGTAACTTAATTTCAAAAAAAGTTCATAAAAAAACATACATAAGAATCTTTCTGTATATTACTAGTATTTATAGAATCAATATATAACTTTTATGAAATAAAAAGAATAATAAATAGATTTATTTACGATCATAAAATAAATATAAAAATAACTAATAAAACGAATCAAAATATAATTCACTTTGTTTTAAAATTATACACAATATAAAGAATATATAAATTCACATAATTCCTGTGATGTCTCTTTTTTATCACAAGCAGGTGTTTTTCTAAATTATCATAAATTAAGTAATCAATGTTAACATACATAAGTTAATATATATATTTTAATATTATGAGAGTTTTTTTCTTAATAATGAAATAAAAAATATTTTAGTACAAAAAATTTCATTTCAAATAAAAACATTATTAATATAACTTACCTAAAAGCAAATGATTTATATAAGTACCACAAAAATCAAAAATAGAATCAATAAACATTAACTCAAAATAAAGATTTAACCAAATTTGATTCTTATGAAAAAATTAGATTAATTTTCTAAAAAAAACAACATAGATATTATATTTTATCCTATAATCTTATTAATTATATAGAAAATAAATGCTTATATATTTATGGACATATATCATTATTTCAAACAAATAAAAAACAAACAATTTCTTTTAATTACAACACACATTAGTTGATATAATGACTAATATCTAATATCTCAATCAATAATTATACAGCGAAAAATTATATTATATATATTGAAAAAAATTTAGATAGAAAATATTTTAATTGGATGATAATACATGTAAAAATACTAAATCGTTTGATATTGACTATGATATTTTTATTTGTTTAAATTTTTTATATTTTTATGCATATAAAAATAACTTGTGAATTATATTTATAATTTTTTTATTTTAATATAAATCAAAATGTTAGTAAAAAATTAAAATAATACTAATAATAAGACAAGAATAATAGATACTTTTATATCATTAAAAAAATCTTTAGACTTTGGATTAGAAACGCAAAATCAAGAAAAATAGAACGTCTAGTTGAGTAAATCTTTAATCATTTTTCTTAAATAAAAAAGGATATTATTTTTTTAAAGATTGAACAACATAAAGGATGATAAAGGTATAAGAAAAAAGATAAATAAAAACAAAATAAGACTAATTTTATTGTATGGGAATAATTTATCTAGATAAAAAATTATGATGATACAAAATTATAAGGATTTCGCATTTTCAGATTTGAAGAAATATAAAAATATAAAATTTACATAAAATAAATATTTATCATCAAACCAGTTCGCCTATTTAAGAAAAATAATAAATAATTATTTATTTATCAAACAATAGCCATTTCTCTAATTCATTAGAGTAAGTGTAAAATGAATAAAAAAAATACTCAAAAAAATAATGTTGATGTGAAAATTTTTGAAAAATACAATACACAAACAAGAGACCCAAAAATAACAAAAAAATTGTTTGTAAAAAATATTTTACTAGCAACATATGGTAGAGAATTAAGAATTATAATTTGTTTAGATCTTACGAATATAAATAGTATGTATAAAAAGACAAAATTTTACAATGAGAATAAAGGTAATAATTTATTGACTAAAAAATGAAAGAATTTTGACCAAAAAAAAAACTAAAGAATTTTAAAATTTTTCTTTATTCAAATTATACATTATAAGAATTAGCTTGTATAAATTGCTATTAATTTAATACACACAATAGAAGCTGTTGAAATATAGTAACGACGTATATGTATCCATGATTAAAAACGCGTTAATTGAAATTTGCCTTTTATATATATAGTATATAAAAGTAAAGTAATATATACATAACAAAAACGGGAGACATACACAGTAGTATTGATATTAATTTAATCATGTATTTATTATATAAAAAATTGAATAAAATTGTTTTTTATTTTCTAAGCATTCAATTTATTATTTGGTAATTACATAAATAAAATATATTTTATATCTATTTTTGTCATAACACGTTAGAATTATTTAACTACTATGTTCATATAATAAAAAATGAGCCGGTTATGTACTAATAATTAATTATGGAAGAGTTGAATAGTACAGCTTTTCATTTACCGTGTGATAGGAACCTAGAGATGTTGGTGCACAAATTCTTTTTTTCTATATTATTGTAGAAAGAGAATTAATATGTAATTTAGTTGAAGTTGAGATGTAAGAATCATGTATTATTTTTTCTCATCGGAGGAGTAGAGTATGATATAACTCGTGGTTAAATTGATAAATATTATAAATTTTGTGAGTATTTTTTAACAATGGTTATTGAATATGAAAAACCAATTATACAAAATCCTAATTTTTTTTATAGAACGGAGGGAGTAGTGGTTGTTGATGGAGAAAAAGTTGATAATTATGAGTGTTAAGAGGAATTTGAATGGGAAGCGCCACAATTAGATACACAAAGAACAACGTCCGAATCAGAGTGATAGATAAGTGTGTTTGTACATAAACACCCTTTTTCTGCATGGTATTTGATGTCATTTATGTTTTACTTTTTCAGCGTACACATGTTCCAAAAATACTTTACTGTTTAAGTTAAAGCTACAGCTACCTCAAAAGTTGTCTCAAAAATGTTATAAAATAAACATAACTCCAATCATGAAATGTAATTATTGTTTGTTATTGGATAGTTACAGGTAAGTCAAAATGGTTTTACGTAATTTGAAAGTGACATGCTTCACTCAGTTTCTCGAAGAAGAAGACACATATTACTTACAAATTTTACGTAGGAACGAAGATAGGAATCAAGCAATTACCTCATAAAGTGTTTGAATCAGATACACTAGGCTTTGGTTAGAAGAGACAAAGCGGAGGAACCCGTGTTGGAGAAAGGGAGCACGTGCAAAGGGTTCAGTGGCATTTGAGAGCCAAGAGAATTGCACGTGCCCTGCTTCTCCAACAAGGAGATCCTCAACCAGTATCTTGAGCTTGATGAGAACGGTAATGGAAGATGAAGAAGACATTGGAAAAGGGTCAGTATTTATAGATGTAACTTTAAAAAGAGAAGAAAATATTTTTATATCTACGGAGTGTTGCGTAAAATTACCCAACAACTCCTTTATGCATTTGAGGTTCACCGCAGCACGGAGACAAGCTTCTCCTTGTACTAAATCAAACGCCAGACTTTGGATCAAGATTCAAGTATGTGGGGTCCCACATGCAACCCTGTTCTGAGTTGCCTTTTTTCATTCGTGAAGAATTGGATTGAATGGTGCAAGCAGTGGGAGAAGAATAATGTATGAGTGCACGTAGGCTTTGCGTGTTGGGTGCAAGTTTTTGATTATGGCATGTGAATGTGTGCCCTTGTGTGTGTTTTAGAGAAAGTTGGGAGACTTCCTTGGTAGATATCATTCCCTATATGTAATAGGTCCCTTACCTTTTCCCCCATAGTTTTTGGTGGTTCAACAGAGGGTAGACCACAAGAATTTCAATGACAACATCAATACCCTGCAGCAGAAAAAAGTAAACAGTGAACACTGGCCGTGAAGGACACAAAACTTCCAGACCAGGGCAAACTTGGTACTCAGCTAGCATCACTACGGTTTGGTCAAGAAACGTTATGTTTATGCATTTGCTTTTCCGGTATTGGTTGTCTTTTGGAGGGTTAATATTAATGAAAGTTGGGTTATTGTAAAAAGGTGAAAGATGACTAGTTATTTGGTGGAATTAAGATAATTTGAAGAGCGCTAAAAATATACATTTTAATGTAATTTTTTAATATAGTTTTAGTTATTGTATAAAATTTATTAAACATCAGTAAAATTATTAAATTAACAGTGTGAATTATGTAATTTTCAGACAGATACTTTTGATTTATGTTAGACTTGTTAATCGTGAAGTACATAGGTTGAACTAACGCTTGTACTTAGTATTGACATTTGGTCTTATTCAAGAAGAAAATATTAATCGAAGTTCATTATTCATTGTAATGTAATGTGCTTATGATTAGCCTGTAATGCATAATTATGGGTGACCATCCTCTCTGTTCAAAGCAGATTGCGAAGTTATAGCCCACAGCATGCGAGAATCTGTGCCGTGCGACATTGGTTTAAATATTAGTGAGGAGTTTTTTTCATAGGTCACGCACTCACTTACGAGGCCATCATTTCGATTTGGTAAATCGTCCACTGCCATATAAGTTGAAATGGCATAAAGGTTAAAAAACAAAGTGCAACGGTGCTTGCCTGTCACAGTGGATGCCTAGTTTTCTAAAAGGAATTACGTAGGATGCATTAAAGAGTTTTGATGAGGTCAATGTAAGGAAGTGTATTTTTTGTTTTTTTGGCGTCATTTGAAGATGGCTTGGAACTGTGATAATTTAAAATTGCCGTGCTCTATCTTGTATAAGAACGTAGATTCTGACAGAATCATCATAAAATCTGACTTAAATATTTCTGAATGCATCCTGCACTTGGTGTGTAATAAAAGCTTACTTGGCTATCCCCCCGTAATATTCAAAGGCATTTGAAAATCATGCTCCCAAGTTGCTAAAATTCTACAGCACTTGATATGTGTTTTTTACTATGCTTCAGAAAAAGGAACAACAACCCAACAAAAATGTACTTCCTTGTTCATCAAATTTGAGAAATTATAAAATTTTCTAATTGATTTACTCAAATCCAAACCCCAAAAGTCATGTGTGACCAATGAAAGATTCATTTAAAAACCGTACATTAGCAGTATAGAGCTAATACTATTACTATTACCTCATACTGTTTTCCCTCATAGGCTAATATCCAGAAAGACCGGGCTATGATAATTAAGAGCCAGAGTCAAAACATACCATTACCAACTTCATGCCAGCTTTTATACAATTACATACAAGAAATGCTGATCTTCAAGAGAAATCGGTTACTGATCACTTTAATTTTTACATGGCTCGTAGTTATACAGAACTGTGTCAATACTCGCCCTTTTCTGGCATTAGAGTTTTATTCCAGACCTTAAACAAGCTTTTACTTTTATTCAACTTTGGGATAATGTAAAAAAATAAACAAATTTTCAAATATTAAACAGGGACAGTACGTCACAAAAGGATAAACAAAATGATTATATACTTGCACAATGAAGACATCGTCTATTCATTTACTCTTCTACCAGCAGATGCTTGTGGGAAATTCTCATCAAATAATGCGAAATCATGACAGATGACAATTCTACAAAAAGCAAAATAATTTTGTACCGGTTAAACTAGAACCAGTTAGTAATTTAGTAAATACATATTTGTATAAAATGTCAAAGTTATTACCATCAACTACAATCGTACACGAACCAAGGCTGCCAAAGGTACACACCAAAGCATTAAATGGATTAAGAACTCTAAGTTGAAGATATATGATTCGTCCCCTTATTTATTTCTTGGCGTAAGTTATCAACATTGGGTTTTGGGGGGTAATCTTGAAACCTTGCAGCGCCTGCATAGCCACAGTGGACTGCATCTCATCTCCATATTCCACAAAGGCAATTCCTGGCTTTGTTTCAACCATTCTAACTTCCTTGAATCCAGGATATTGAAGAAAGAGCATTTGTAGCATCATGGGAGTTGTTTCATTGGGAAGATTCTGAATAAAGAGAATATTATTTGGCGGTGCAGGAGCCTCAGGTACCATAGATTTTGCGCCACCTGGATAAGGCATCTGGGATAGCTGCAATATTAGAAGGGGCATGTAACAAATATAGAAGTAACTATGAAACATGATGACCAAGGAATATGAAACAAAATTATTCATGCTTCAGTTTATTTGGATTAATGGTTTGAAAAATATAGCATGTCATCTCATCAAAATTTCTATCGATGAGGACAATCTCTATCTCATATTCTCAAACTTTTCTCCTTTATTTTTGAAGGCATCAGCAAATCAAAATTGTTTTTCAAAGGCAAACCAATGAAGTAGAAAGAAAAAAACTCCTGTTAGAGACAAATTACTATACAATGGAAAGAATTCTAAAAGTGCTAAATTTTAATGAGACAAGTTACTAAATATTAGGTCTTCAACATGATCATTCACCAAAAGGAAAAAAAATAAAACAGCGGATGAAACTTACAGCAGGTGTTGCACCATAAGCACCAGCATAAGCTGGATTTAGGCCCATTCCAGCTAAATTAGCATCATGTTGGTCCTTCCGTTTTTTACCTGCAATAAAATGTAACAAAGTTACTTTCACGCAGACAGATACATATGTAGATATGACAACCCCCCCCCCCCCCAACCAAAAAAAAACCAAGAAGAAGAAGAAGAATCCCTTCAGTTTTCTCAGGGAGACAGTTGCATGAAATCTATCAGCCCTTATCACCATTATTGGGCATTCAGTGACTTGTGGGTTTAAAACTTTACCGTGTAACATCTTTATTAAAAGAGTTGGGAGCTTGAAGAGTGTCGTACCTTTGTCATCATGCCTCTTACGCTTTTCCCTAGGAACAAAAGTACCATCCGCTTTTGCTATTATGTCAGATTTAGTCTTTGCATATTGTATTCTCTGGACAAATGTAAATATAAAATCAATTTCTTGCAAAAGAATGAGATCTACAGCACTGACATATACTTAGAGAAAACTATAGCATATATGAATCAGCAGCAAAAGGTAAGGAGATGAAGTCAAATAAATAAGCAAGTTAAGTATTTTGAATCAATCAGATGCTTTTTATCCACAGAAAGAAAGGAAAAAAGAAATTAGTGTTCTCAATAAAAAATACAAATGAAAAGCATGACTATAATAAATTCACTTCTAAAGGCAAATTCTATTAACTTCTTAGAGCCAAATTTCTAGTTTAGCAGGCGACAAAATGGATGCATGTTAAGAGAACGTTTATGAAAACAGTTCCACAAGATATTGCCTAAATATACAAGACTATGGAAATGGAATTACATCACAGATCATCAGGTGAACCATGTATAAGGCTAATAAAAATAAAGCCACACCAGCAGAAATCAAGCAACCATTATTACAACAGACAATGTTATAAGTATTTTGCATGGCGTAGGAATATATAAGCAATTTGAATAGCGTAAGAACATTCAGATAGAAATAATTGTCAATTTCTTGATGCAAGATCGTGAAGTCTGGCCAAATGTCATCGAAAATCTTCTCTCTCTCGTGCTAAATAAATCTAAAATCCAATTTCGTTCATGAACTTTTAAGAAAAAAAGAGTTGCTATCAGATAAGAATTACTCTGCAATCTTTATTTATTTTATCCCATGGCACATAAATTACGCTAAATTTCCAAACAAATTTCTGTCATAGAAGCTTCTGCAAGTAGGAGATTGTTATAGTGTTTAATGAATAGTGTCATTAGAAATTAGAATCATACAAAACCTGGTAATTCCAAAACACTATACTTAAAGAAGGTGGAATGAATGAAAAGGTGCAAATGGTACCATGGGCTTATCATAGAAGGGGAAACCTTGCATTTGCCTAAGTGCATTGGAAGCAGAAGAGACATCCTCAAAGACCACCCAGGCTTGACCCTTGTGCTTGAGGGGTTTGAAAGCTAACACCTCAAGTATCTTCCCAAACTGAGTGAAAACAGCGTGCAAAGACTTCTTCAACTCTGCATCAAGTATACAAATACAACAATTGAAACAATGTAAAGCGAGTTGAAATTGAAGTCGCAGAAAAACGAAATAAATAGCGTACCATCAATCTTAATCTTTTCGTTAAGGTTGTTGATGTAGATTGTATTGTTTTGTGGGATTTCAGCACCCGCATTCACTTCAGACATCTTGCGCTCCCCAACTATAAGAGAAGAAGAGTGAGCAAAACCCTAAGCTACGGCGGGGAAGCTGCAAGTGATTTTCAAAACCATTAGGCTTCGACCATCTTCTGATATGGGCCTACTAACTTCTAAGCTTAGTTCAAAACTTGCCCATGTGTTGCACTGGGCCTCGCTTCGGATCAACTACTTTGTTGACCAAAAAATTTTCATTGATTGATTGTGGACATAAAAAAAATGGTTTTGTTAATTGATTAACCATTTTAACAAGATAAAAAAAATAATGAGATCAGTTGACAATATAAAATCTAAAATTAGTATTTTTGATAAAAAAAAAATAAAAATTACTAACATATTCTTTCGGAATACACTTCTCAACACATATTAAAATTATCAAGTATAATAAATTTTTTAAAATAAAATTTTGCTATTTTATATTTCTTAAAATATACGAGGATGTATCTGCGCCAAATATCTACAGAGGTGTCCGTTTATTTAATTAAATCAGTTTTAAAGATAAAAATTGTATGTCTTGTTTAATTGAATATTTGAGTTAAAATATAATTTTAAATTTAATTTAATTCAATTTATTTAAAGTGTTTTAAAATTGTATCGTGAATCAGTTGATAATAGTTTTTTATTTTAATTCGTGATTTCAAATTTAAGTTTTAATAAATATAGCTGTAGTTTAAATTGAAAATATATATTTTATATTAATTTTTATTAATATTTATATGCGTGTATAAAATCTTTGTATTTATTATAAAAATTTATAAATTAATTATTGTTAAAATGTGGCATCTCACTGTTGATTGAGCAAGGACGAATTAAGTTCAAGTTGTATTGATTAATGAAATAGTGAAATTTAAATTTAGTTTCTTAGATACTGTATGTAGTATTTATTTATTAGCATTATAATTTGTTTATTAATATATAATAACATTACATGCAATTTCTTAGTTTGATTGATAATGGCAATAATTTGATTTAAAAAAAAAATTGATATTTGTCCTTTGGAAAAGGCACAATACTTATCCAGTTGAAGCGAGGGAATGGGGAAGGTTCTAAAATTGGGAGTTGGAAGATGCGTCATACTATTGACCACTGAATTTGCACGTGTAATACATGCCATTCCCGAGAGTGCCAACTTCACTCCCTCTCACTTTGAAAATGCAATTACCACACCTTCTAATATAATTTTAATTTATATTTTATTTTTAATTAAAAAATATTAAATATTATATAATTTATATTAATTCTATTCTTTTTACTTTTAAATTTTTATTAAATTTTAGTTAACAATGCTAAAGAGTATATTAAAAAAAATGTCACTAGCATGGCATATTTTATATGAGAAACAACATTTAATTAACATAATTTTATACTAAATAAAAATATAAAAAAATTAACAATTAATATATTTAAAAATTTTATTTTTTAGAAATAGGACTAACAAATTTTCAGAGTGTTTATTTTACAGAAACAAATATTAATAATGGTTAAATATAGTAGCGAAATGATTCTCATTTTCATTTAGAAGTCCTTTGCGGGCTTTCCGTAATATCTGGCTAAGCTGAAAATATCGTTTGTTCAAGGTGGGTCCCTTCCTTAAAACAGGGCCAGGTGGCAGCAAACGAGAGGTTCCGCATATCATATTTTGACGCGGTTACTATTCTGACGTAATCAATAATATTCTCGTCTCCACTCTTTCTTTTCTGCCTCTATATATATATTCAACCCTTCTTCCTCCCATTCAAATAGGGGACTCCTTCGGCCGTGGGGAGCTTATTTTTCCTCATCAATTGCATTGTGCAAATATTCGTACCAAATAAATAAGCTTTCCACAGTTACATATCCTATCTCAAACTATTTGAATCACCAATGGCTTGCTCTTTCACTAACGCCAAGATTTTCCTTTATGGATTCTCTAACGCTCTCGCCAGGTAAAATGATTGTTTCCACGTCTTTAGCTTTATTTTAAATGTCATGATTATTATATGCTTAATCAATGAATGACATGATTTATAATATATGGTTTGAAAACAGACGTGGGTACGCTGTAGCATCGGAAACAAGGGGAGGAGTGGCTTCCGTCGGCGGCAAGATGACACCCAAGTCCGGGGAAGACAAAGTGGTCTCCGCCAACAAGGTTTCGTGGTTGCCAGATCCTGTTACTGGTTACTACAAACCTGAGAACGTCAAGGAGATTGATGTTGCCGAATTGCGTGCTACGCTTTTGGGCAAAAAAATCAACAATTGATTTCAATCGTGGGTGATCAATTATGTTAATCACAAAGGCTATGGAATGTTAACTGTTGATGATATATGCTCTCCTGACTCTACTTGATAAATGGAAGATCCGATTCACGTTTGTGGTTTTTTTCCCCTAGTCCATTTATTTGTACCTGAATCTGATATATGTTAGTTTGATTTTTCGAAATCAGTGGAATTAGCATTAGCAGCTAATCAGGAGTGTAATGTCTTCTAATCTTATTGAATACGATAAGTTTTTGCTTTTAAAATTAGTGTGATGGGATTATAGCTTGCACAACACAAATTGGCTTAGGAAAGGTGTAATAAAAAACGTAACTGTTTTTCTACACCTTATTATACTATTTGACTAAAAACATAACGTTTGATAGTATGACTATACGTATCTCTAACCTTAAAAGAACACTATTAAAAATAAATATAAATTGTCGTTAAAATATTGATCTTACAGATTATATAAATGGTTTTATTACTTCAAAGCGTGCAAATTTAAGTTTGCTTTACAAATAGGACGATCATATGAATTTTATATGTTAAAATCATAATTTGAATTGAATTGAAAAACTTTTACTTTTTTCCTTTAATTAAAACTATAATAGACGATTTTTGAATTAAACACAGTATTTGTGATAAATTACAGCGTTTATCTTACCAGAATAGTAATAATTTAATAAGGGGAAAAGCCGTAATCTTCACGCACTGGATAAGTAAAAGAAACCAGTAGAGAATAGTTGGACATTTTCTGCCTATAAAAAAGTTTAATGATCGAGGTAAAAAGCTATAATCTATATAGTCTTGGACCCATGAAGGTAGCTAATCTACCTCCGGCAATGCAAATTAACATGATTGGCGCCAATGGCTAAAATATGGTTTTATGACCAATTTTATTAATTTCTATACACGTACGAGCAACCACTGACGCAAAACAAATTGGTTGTCTATGGCAAGCAACACTAATTGTTGCTCTTTCGTTGGTTACCCTCGTGATAATTTTGTTCTTGAATTTAATTTCACTGCAAAATATACACCCAAGCTTGATATAAAACATTTAAGAGTAACGTATGATTTACCAGTGAAAGATTTTAGAAGCAACTGATAATTGACACACATTATATAGAATTTGGTTTCATCCCTTGCTTTGTAACATCTAAACAAATAAATAAAATGAAAACAAAGGGAAAAGTACTAAAATGCAAAAGGGAACAACTCCCGTTTTGTTGGGCAGTACTATTAAATAGACATAGTAGACGAAGCGTGTGTGGCAAGTAAGCTTAAGATGAAGTGAATTATCGAAGGTTTGGGTCGTTTTCAATGTGTACGTTGATGGATTCTGGCTCAGACGATACAAATCAATAAGACAAAAACCATTCAACATAGAAGAATTTCATAGTCACGGCATAGGGGAATGGCCAGCATAAAATGCAGGCAGTGATGTAGCCATCTTTGCTTGAAGCCGCCCAAGCAAGAAACAAACCCAGCTATAATAAACTCTTAGAATTCCATTTTCTAACCCATGCATGGGGATGAAACTGCAATTGTGGCCAAAGCAATCAACAATGTCTCAACTAGTACTACTTTGTTTTTAACCAAATTTGTGAATGAAAATTTGGCAAACCTAAATCACAAAACCTTTTTTCTTTGATCTGGCGTGCTTATTCCATTATTCATGGGCAGTATCAATAAAATGTTCGATGCAGTCTAACTTTAGTTACGCATTGAATGTTAACTTAAATCGCCATACAATGCTTTTGACTGTATTAGTTTTGGCAAAAATTCCTAAAGAATATGGTTCGGCAAGGTGCCTCTGTACTACACAACTAACTTACGAGAAGTGGAAATGAATTGACGGACAATTCGACAGGCACCATTCAATAGAATTAGATATTAATGACTCACTAGTCACCACCACCATCCAATATAACCTAAAAGTTCATATGGGAATATGCCTGAAAATATTTATCACTTGAACATTCTTATGGAACCATGTCACGTCTACACAAATAGTGGACAGGGAAGTTCATAGGAAGATTCACATTAATCATAATTGGTAACCCCCTAAGTTTAAAGAGATGAGATCATGCGTAAGGGACACAAAAAGGAATCCCATAGCATATAGGAAAGGAAACGTAGGAAGAAGCCAAAAAGAAGTGACTAATCCTTTCAACGTTGACGGCTTTAGTCCTAAGAAACTATTGAATATTGATATTTCATAGCTTTGTCGAGGAACAGGAGGGGAATTCTAATGCAGGTTTGATTTCGAGAATAAGGACTTGGGAGAGAGGAATCAACCATTACATCATGAATAACTATTAAAGACACTTAACTAAGATAAAAAAAAAATGGAATAATAATAGATAAATAAATTATATAAATAAGGGGACTTTAAATTTAAATTATTTAAAATATTTTATATAAGTCACTCAAATTTATAGTTTATTTACGTTCGCTAACTCTTGAATTTGACACACTTTAAAATTTTACAACTTATAAAGTTATAAAACTGATCTCATATTTTTTGTAATAAAAAAAAACACAAACTCTAATAAAAATATATTGTTTTAATTAATTTATGCAAATATAATAGGATACTTACTCTCACCGCTATGGAGATAACTTCGTTATTTTGATATGCTGTGAAGTGAACGCATTAGGATAACGTTTTAGTTTTACACATCAAACGAAATATTACAATGCAAAGAAAGCAATTAAATAAAAAGAGCCAAAAAAGCCCTTAAAAGAATATAAAGGTGAGTTCACATTGTGGACAACAGAAAAAGGCAGCGAAAAAGCCCTGAAAGATGCTTTGCAAACAGAGAACCTTCTTTCCTCAAAACCACACAACCCTGTATTTCCTTTCACATTGAGAAGACTTTTTTTCAAGGTCATTACTTTGATATGTATACGAGTAATGCTGACATACTTTTCTTTGACGCATGTTTAATTTTTAAATTTTATTAAAAATAAAAAAATGTCATTATTTTTTATTTTTAAATTAATACTGTTCTTTCATACTTTTTGTCTTTGATAAATTTTAACAAACAATTATAATGTAGTATTAGAAAGAATGTATTAAGAAATGTACTTCATTCTCCTCTGCATCATATGCTTAAAATTGGATGAGTTGCCATAGAAAGCGAGCTTTAAAACCAGACAAGTTGCATCTCTGTGTCTAACAAGCACTGGTGAATTAGTTGTCTCTATGATATTTTTTATGGATCATAGTTACTTAATACACAAGTCTATTCGATTCTGCTACGGAAACGTGATATGCGATGCTCTAGTGTGTTATAAAATGTATGTTACTTGAGACATTTAAGTATTTAAAAATTTTATTATTTTTTAAAAGATATTTAGTACATAAAGTTTGCTCCTTGTTATGTTGGAGATTCAAAAATATAATAAATGTTTTCTTTTTTAATATAAGTTAAAAATATTAATATATATTTTTAGGGTTGAGTTTAAACAACTAATAATATTTTATTTTTATTAAAAAAATACTTATCATCCTTTTACCATTTTTATGCTATAAATGTTCTTTTTAATAAAATTTATTATTTTTAGGTGTTTAAACTAGTCTTAAGAGTTAAAGCTAACAAAATCACAAAATTTTATTATTTTTACATGCTTAAGGAATTGTAAAAAAGGAACAAACTCTAACCATTAGAACATTGATTAAGGAACTAAAAATAACTTTTTTTTTCAAAACACATAATAAATACACCAGTCTTGTAATTTTTAATGTAATTTAACATAATTTTAATAAAAAAATTAGCATTTTAATTTTCTAACTATTGTCATAAGGGCACTCACTATCAAAATTTTAATATATATATATATTATTTAAGTTTGTCTTACATTTTAACAACATTAATATGTTTCTATTATAAACTTTAAAATAAATTAAATCAAATATAATGAATATATAAAATAAATTTTGTTTTACAGTAAAACATAAAATTCTTATTTTAAATATGATAAAAAATTAAATAAAAATTATTTTATTTTCCAATACTGGCAATTATATATTCTATAATGTTGCCACTTTAAGCAAATAAAGGGTTGAATTAAAACTTCAAATAAAAATAGAGATTTTATTTTAGAAAATAAATTTTACTTTTTTATTACAAAATTGTAACATTTTTGTTTTAAAATATTTATACAGTTAGTGGAAAAAATAAATCACGTGACACCCATCATTTTGGGTGGGGAGGATGTGGGTTGTTTTTATATATTTTACTCAAAATAGTTTTAAAATAATATAAAAATATTACATAATTAAGAAAAATATCATATTGAAAGTTTTACTTGTTAATTTTAAATAATTTATTATTTCTATTATAAAAATATTTTAAATATAAATTTTCTATTTTTTAAAATCTCTTTTATTCATCTGAATATATTTTTTTCACTTTTTTCTTGTTCTTATTCATTTAATTACATTTGTTCATCTTATTTCTCATCTTCTTGTTTTTTAATTCATTTCCTGTTTTATCCAAAATAGCGTACGCATATTGAAGATGGATTTAAACTTTGGGGACTTGTGTATCTTGCTAGTATCCATCCATATTTTCTTTAACTTGAAGCCTTAGTACTAACTTTTATTTTGGTCCATTAGTACTAAGCTTTCATGATTTTTCGCTCATGCTAGACTTTCGAATTAGGGGTTCTGTATCCTTCAAATATTATTTAGGAAACTCTTGAACGCGGCCCAAAAAAAATTAGCAGATAGGTATGGACCCAAAACAAAAATCAATATACATTTGATATACAGGTAAGTATGGGCCCCAAAAAAAATCACAGATAGGTCTTTACCGAATATTCTATAGTCGTGATCTAAAGTAAGAAAATAAACATAGAAAGATGTAATTATCGTTCGACGAATGGTTTGGATTTGTTATTTTGTAACTTAGCTGACAAAAAATCACTTTCAAGATCCGAAATCTCTTATAATTTTTTTAAAAAAATCCGTAGCTAAATTTGATGTGAATTTTAATGAATCATAAAAAGACAAAAGATAAGTCTTGTGTCGGCCGTCGGCCAATTTTGAAAAATTGAACAATTTAATGATTGGCTGCCTTAAAAGAAAAATACATAAAAGATAAACATTTATTTATTTATTTTGTCTCACCGGTATACAGATCATTACGTTGTTGTAATTGCCACCTACCATGATTATCATCTTTATTCTAAAATACAAAATCCAGTGTTCCCTTTCTTTTTTGAATAATCCAGTGTTAGGCAGAAAAAACAACAAGGTAAATGCTAATAATATATTATTTTCTAGTACACTTTTATTTATTTATATTGAAAATTATCATATCTCTCTCTTTTTTAACTCTTTGTTCAGTGGAGACAGGTCGAATGTAGTTGATTGTTAATGTAGGAAAAATAGAATGAAGCAAACCTTACATACATCGCATTTGTTTAATATATTTAAAGAAAACAGCATCATGACCAACAGTTAAAAACTAAAAGGAAAACATAACAGAAATGGATTGTGAAATCAAACTACAGAGTAGAGTTCTAGAAAGTGTTCCCCAATTTGAAATTAAAGGGAAGAAAGATACCCAATTTTATTGGAATTGTAGCAATCAAATCCACATCCACACTGAGGGCTCTCTGAAAAGCTGTCGACGCTAAAGGCAGCAGAAGCAACACCCACCGAGAATTGGAGCTCATCGTCTTCGCGAGTCACCTCAACGATATTGAGCCACAACAGTTCAATCTTAACGCTAATACCCTTAAGCTTGGAAAGCTTTCCCTTGGAGATCACTCCCTTGATGGTGGTTTTGTACTTGAGATCATATGACTGTACGCTGAAGATGCATTGCTTATCGAAATGCACCGTGAAGTGCCCATTCTTTTCATCTAGCTCATAGCCTGTGGCACCTTGCGGAAGAAGACCCGCTGGGAAATCATACATCTCAAGAACATCGTACACTGACAGTGGTTCTTGTCGGCTCAACGTGCGTGCAGCTGTTACATTCACACACACCACAATACAAAGAAATATGATTGAAGACCTCATCCCTTTTGTTTGTTGCATATGACCACTTTCCTCACACCTGATCAGAAAGTCCCCTCTGTGACGTTAGGTTGTTGGGGGAAACGGAGGTCCAATATATAGATTTTTTTTCTTAATTTGGTAGCTTATGCTGTGGAAAGTGTGGAGATTGTAAGCGTTATGGTCCATAAAGAATAGATATTTATTAAATGATTTTTTTATGTGCCAAGTTAAATGTTTTTTTAATTAAAATTATAGTGTTTAATAGTATTATTATAATAAATTTTATAATTTTAATTAAAAATTACATATATAATTTAATATTGCACGTGAAAATTGCTATATAATTCATTAACTAATGAAGAATATATGGATATGTATAATTCTTTTATATTAACTTCAATGGAAAATTCAGCAAGTGTTTCAGTTTGACTATTTCGATTTGCAATTGTTTTTTCCCTAATATTCTAGTAGTGCGTGCAACTCGTGTAGCACGTGGGCAAGGCTTTTTAAAGTGGAGATCTGTGCTGAAATGAATTTTGTCTATCCAAGAAGAGAAGGGGGCAAACATTGAACTCTCTCGTATGTACACCCACCAAAAATATTTTGTCGATATGTATAGTTTTTTTTTATCAAATACATTAACAATTACAAATAAATAAATAAACATAATATTTGAATATAATACGCTGCCCTTCCACTGATTCATATTACTAATGCTTGATTTATGTCCAACCTTTGATGCTTTTTTCTGAGTTGGACTTTTGTTTTTTGTTACCGCTATATGTTGTGTGCATTTCAAAAAGTGTTTAATTTTATGAGAATTCAGAATCCGATCCAAAAAGAGTAAAGTAAATAAGCTTAAGCATGAACAGCTTACTTATTCTCAACAAATTTTAAACGTGAGATGATTCAACTGTATTCTATGCAGAGTGCTTTATCCTGAAAATAACGTAGTCTATTTTTCTTAGAAATAACATATTTCATTTAAATTACTTTTAAATTTCCTATTCATTTTTTGAATTATGTATACATTTATAATTATTTTCCCTTTTATCATACATCTATAAATTTCTAAATTGATTATACATTTTCTATAGCTTTAAATGTTTTTTTTAATTCATATTTATTTTACTTAAATTTAAAATATCCTTAAACTACTTAATTATTTTTAAAAACCTTAATAATTAAAATGAGAAGAATGATTATGTTACTTGCAACTATATATTTATGTCAAAAGGGACGTATCATATCAAGCAGTGGTGAACTATTTTGGGTTCGGGTAATTAGGCTAGCAGGACCAGTCGATCGGGTCACACAACGCTTGGATATTGGGCCTGAACCACGAAACGGTAAATTTTCACCATTTCAATTTAGAGGAATATTGGACCAAAAAAACCTTTCAAGAAATATTCAGACCCAAAGAAAAAAAGAAGAGGAAAACATAGTTTGGTCGAGAAAATTTTGATTTTCGAGGAACACATACTGATCAGGGTATTCCCACTCTCTTATTTGTAAATTTCATAATAATATATCCGTGTTTATAATTTATATGTATGATAGATATAACTGTTGTACGTATGTCAAGATTCTTATCTCGTTTAGATGAAAATCAATTCAGTCAGTATATCACATTAATATCCTAAAAGAACACGTTAAGGTCAGCTATGAAAAACATAAAAAAGTCAAGAAGGACCTATATGCATTAGGGTGAGAGATGCAAAAGATTGGATCTCACCACACTATTGGTTTGGCGTAGGGGCTGAATTTCTTGGAGAATCTTACAGATCCTGAAAAGATTAACTTTTCACCTTATCATCAGATAGCATATATATTCAAAAAGACACCAATCTTCATCAACTTCATATTCCACGACTAAGCGAAGTAAACAAATATTCCAAATGAGTAATGTTCACTGTCAAAAATTTGAGAAAATTACACTAGAATTTCTAGATTTAAAGGGTGAAGACAATAGAATCAATACAAAGCTACTATTTTAATGTTGACCATCTAGTATAATTCATTCCATCTTTGAAAAGATGACACATTCTCATATCAAATATCAATTCGTGTAGTTCCCAATTCTTTGAATTCCCAGTTTTTAAGCATTACCTTTCATAATTCAATAAAATTAGCGAGTGTCAATTCAGAAAGGTCAAGGAATAACAAATTATCGTAGTCGCTAAATAACAGATAAATCAATCAGCAAGTACTCTTCCTTACAACCCTTCTCTAAATAGAAACACATTCATTACATATACAATCAATTTGATTATTCTAAAGCGAGAAGGTTGCACTTTAAAGATAAAATGCAACTGTAGCCATTGATTGAAAAACTAATGGCTGAACTTCTAACATCTTTATCGTTTATGTATGTGCATATATTCTATCACAATTTCAATCATTTACAATACTTAGAGACGTTTACTAATTTTTTTGTCAGCCTCACAAACATTCAAGTCAAAATAGCCATGAGTGCTAGTGCTACTATGTAAAGATGATCACAACAACGTACTTTTCATTTGCATAGAACTATGCCCCAAAATTTTTCATTAAATCAATGTCAGAAAATTTATTTAAAATAGAAGAATGCAAAGAAAAACACAGTAGATAATCAATAAGACTCTGGCTAGGCTTATCATTCATATATCTGTAAAGTAAAAAACCCCTCCTCCAAATATATTCTCCCCCACATTATAATTCTGAATATTTACTCCTAAGAAATATAATATAAAATTATTCACGTGTCTTCACCTAATAACTTGAGCTTTTGAGTTATGGTTCATCTCTCCTCTCAGCTTCTCTAGGCTACCACGTTACAAAGAGCTTGGAAGCTTGAAATCTGATGTTTTGGTTTTGATTTGAAGCAAAAATTTCTGTTTGCATCACATCACAACCTCACAGTCAAAGATTGGGTTTCAATTAGCATGGGATTGATTATGTTCAACAGCTTGAGAGCTTTTCTATTTCAATTTGGCTCAAGTATTTGTACATGACGTCATATTTATATTATCAAGCTCCATGTGTGGATTAATGTGTCTTCAGTAATCTCAATCATCATTTATCATGGGCAAATGTGAAGAAACAATAGGTTAGAACGTGATAAATTTTTCATTTTTCTGAACAAAGGTTTACAGCTAAACAATGAGGTAAAATACAAGAATAAAGTTTATTAACAAAGACATATAAATGTCAAAGCAATGACTGTGATATATTGATAAATCTCAGGTAAGTTAGCAGGAGTTGGAGTCTTCTAGACATAGATATATGAAAGTTGAATAAACACTATCTGCTACTAAGACAAAACATGCATCACGTTACCCATTGAAGGCACTTTTAGCAAGCAGGAGTCTGACAGGATAGAGTTCAGAAAAGATAAAATAACATGATATTAAAGTATTTAAATCAAATCCAGAAAAGGAAAAAAGAACATAAGAATTATACATTTCAAACAAATATTTTGGAAAATCTTAAAATGCATTTGGACATCGGCTATAGGCAGGCCTTAACCAAATAATTTTATCAACAACTCACTATTAAATAATTCATAGTCAAAATGGAACCAAAGACAAAACAAGAGGAAATACCTCACATAGAGCTATAAGCTTAATCAGCTAACATCCTTAAGTCTTTTTATCAATGTATCCAACGATTTCCTTTTCGGATTCTGCCTGGCCCCACGACTACCAAAGGTTCCAAAGAGCCTATCAGAAGGATCTCTCAACTTTTCTGAAATAATCATCACTTTTTTGTGGTCCAAAGTATTGTAACTCCTCTCCCTGATTACTGGATTCAAGAAGTTCTCCGGATGATTGCTTAACAGCAAATTAATCAATTGCCTTGACTCAGCAAGTGATGTTTTCAGCACATCAACATCCCCATCAGAGAAAAGGGGACCCTGATTATCAGCAAATGATTCTAAAAGCCGGATGTCTACATCAATTCCAGTAATAGCATTCACATTAAACCTCTTAACAGAGTCACTAACTAAAGTTCCAACTATCTTCTCCGATATGTGAGCAAAAACTTCCTGTAAAACTCTTTTAAGGACTTGAGATGGCAATATCTGTTGAGCAGTTGAAAACAAAATTTCCAAATAAATTATGACCTCGTTTACATATTCATTTCCACTCTGAGGCGCTTCATCACTCATCCAGTTCACATTCTCAATCAAGGACATAAATCCATCAACTTTGGCCTTGAGTAACCCAGAGAGCATCTCTTCTGCAGCATCACGAGCTTTTTTCAGAGGGAACTGCCTTCTGCTTCTCTCAACCAGTCTCAAGGGAACCCCCGAAAGCTGTGCGGCATGGCGAAAGAAAAAATCACACGCACGTTCCAGTACAGCCATATTTGCTGCCATTTGCATTGCCTGGGAAACACCACTAATCGCTGTATTGATAAGCTTTGATAATGCTTCATCCAAAACCTCGCTCAAAAGCCTGTCTAAATATTTCTTAACAACTTCATAGAACTCAAGCTGCCCGCCGTATGACATGAAACTCACAGAATCCTCAATGAAGGACCGCACAATGCGACAACAATCAGGCACGGTGGATGAAAATGGTGCAACATAAGGAAAAGCAGGTATGATATCCGATGTTTGTATCTGAAAAGAAAGCACATTCATCGAATACTCGTACTCCTTCTTCATCAACATCTGCTCAAACTTATCGGCAGCAACAGCCTCCGCTATCTGCTTCCTACAGTCAGACAAGAGCAGCTCGTGATATTTATCCCTATGTTTACTCAAAACATCAAGCAAGGCATCAATGGGGTACCCATATCTCCTCAGAGTCACTCCTAACAGACTCACATAATCCTTAATAAGTAAAAGGTGATTAGCGGTTTGCATTCTGGAGAACTGATCCTCCAACACAGAACACATTTTGCTAACAGCAATCTCCCAGAGATTCTCAACTTCCATCTTTGATATCAACCCACCCCCAGTCCTCAACACACGATCCTCCACCACAAAGAACCCCGCAATTTGCGCAAAGAATGTTTGATGCGACTCAAGAAAAGGCGTCATCGACGATACCTGAAAGTCCGAAGTCAACTGAAGCTTCCGATTCTCAAAATAATACTGCTTAAACCGATCTTCTAACCCTAGCGTCTGGTGAATATGATAAGCCCTATACAACGGAGTCAAATCAAAACCTGCAACTCCACCACCGTCTTCTCCGATCCCACCGGCGATTTCATCTTCATCCTCTTCCTCCAAAGCATAAATGCAGTCCCTAACGCTCAGCCTACTCTGCTCCTCCGCTTGGCGCTGCTTGATTCTGAGATCCTCTTCTCTCTGCCTCGCCGACGAGGCTTGACCGATGGCCAATTGCCCTAAATTGCGACTCACCACTCGGATCTCCACCAACCAGTCCCCGAACTCCTTGTTTACCTTCCTTTCTATGTACGAACGAATCTCTGGAATCTTCTTCTCCATCATCCTCCTCAGCGTTGACGACGCCGTTTTGTCCAAGTACTCCCTCTCGATCGTGTCCACGCACTTCAGCGCCATGTAGAAGTTGTCGTTGGAGAGGTGGCGGTTCGCTCGGGAGCAAACCTCCGTCAGCTTGATGCACGTCCGGACCGATTCGATGGCCAGGTTCACGTTCTTCGAGACGTTCCGCGTTTCGACGAAGGAGTCGAGAGAGGAGAGGAGCGGTCGAGCGACGGATTGGAGCTTAGAGTTAGAGTCGAAGAGGGAAGACTTGAGAGAATCGACGTCGGAAAGGAGGGATCGGAGGTCGTCGACGGCGAGGATGAAGTCTTGGTAGTGAGCCTTGCATACCTCTTCGATCTCCGATTCTTTTGAGCGGGCGAAGTGACGGAGGTGGTGGTGGAGCGTCTCCGGCTTGCCGGAAGCAAAGGCTTTGCGGATGAAGGGTCCTAAGTCCTCGTTGTTGCAGATGGCGGAGGAGAGAAGAAGCTGGTCCAGTTTATCGGCGGAGTCATCGCCGTTCGCCGGAACTATTTTCCGGCGCGGTGGCTTGGAGGAGAGCATCGTAGGTGTAGCCGTGGCAGGAGGAGAAAATTTAGGGATTAAACGCCGTACAATAGCTTTTTGGACACACCATAATAGTCGTCGGAACTCAACTCGTTCCTTTTGGGTATTCCATCGTCAAGTGGGGGTATTCTAGTAGTTAACTAGAAAAACGAAAAATCTTCATATTGGGAAAATGAAGACTTGGTATATGAAATTATAAATGGTTATTTTTCAAAAAAGAAAGTAGCTGTATATACCTTATATACTTGTAGGACTACACATGGTGGGTGGATCAACTCCAACAGCCTAAATATATAATTCTAACTTGCCCTTGTTCCATTGTCATTGTTTGTAAATATAATTGTATATAAAAAATAAACATGTTAAACAACATGACATAAATTATTGATCCAGTCATCATTATAGCTGGACCAACAAAAAGTAAGCACAGCTTCTACTTTTCCCATTTAAGATCAAACTCTGTTCTCACATTAAATTCTTTTTTTCCGGAGTAAGATAAGGTTTACAATCAAATGAATGTCTTCTATGCATTTATAATGTTGTGTATTAAATTTTTTTCAATTATTTGGTTAAAGGTTATTGGTTTATTTTTACTAACTTATATTTATTTTTAAAATGTAATTTTTATTTCATATAAACAAATATAATCGTTTATATTTTGAAATTATTTCTTCTTTTTTATATAACTGTTTATCATGATAATTAATTTTAAATATAACCAAATATTAAAATAACGTGTTTAATAATTTAATTACAAACTAAAGCTCAATGTACTGATCACCATATAATCATATATTCTTATAAAGTTTAATTATAAATTTAGTCATTGTGATTAATACAATTTTTTATTTTAGTTTATAAATGAAGAAACTATACATTTCAGTTTTAATTTACGGATCATTTTTATTAATTATTAAAATTACAGAAATGTTTAATTTAACTTGTATATTGTGACGTATGAGTTTTTAATTTTATTTTTTACATGAAAATGAAATGTAATTTTTGTATTAAAAAACGCAAGGTATAAAAAACAAAATTACGAAATGAAATAATAACTTCATCTCACGCCATCGTAGTGTCGATAACGTGACATTATTCCTGAGAGTAATGCAACAAGTAACCACACATGGAACGATTCATTTCTGTGACACATGAATGACTGCTACGTGTCATGACTGATCATGATTCATAACTACTCGGGAGCTTCCTTCATCAACACCTGTATCCCCACGTTTACATCTGTTGTGTGCAATAATCAGTAATGAGCGTTTTCATTAATATTTTTGCCTAACAAAACGTACTCACCAAGTTATTAAGCGCCGAAAGTGCTTCTAATGGACATTTTTTTAATCAATAATTTATAAGCAAAAATTCAAGTTAATTCCAATTCTAAAGTAAAAGGGTAGCAAAGTATAATTTTGTCAAAATGAAAATAAGCTTTGACTTCATATGAATTTTATTAGTAATATTACAAGTTAAGATCTTAGAATCATAAGTCCTTTTTTCTTCGTACTTTAACGGTTAGTCTTGTGTTAGTAGCTAGGTGTCTTTATTTATATCTCTGCAGGAATGCTTGGCTACGAAAGAAAAGAAAAAACTATAACAAAAACTATTAAACAATCTTATTGTAGCTCGTGAGGAGATTTTTTATCAAGGAACACAAAATGTCCTTCGACTTTTTTTGACGAGAGTACAAGAATATTAAACTAGAGTGATATATGTTTTTACACTAAAAAATATAAAAACTCATTGAAATAAAACATTAAATTATGAAAACACCGTTGAAAAAAAATGTCCATAGTTATATGGAAAAGCGACCGAGCAATAAAAAAATGTATGACAATTTGTTCGTGATAACGTTCTAGATAGTTTTATACTTTATCATAACTATATACTACGAATATTTATTTTGTACGATAAAAAGGACAAAAATCCATTCAAATAAAATGTCTCTACGTCAGAAATAACATAAAATATAATTTATCAAGAAGAAAAAATTCAGAAATAAATGTGTTAAAATAATATAAACAAATTTATTATAAACCCTGACTCATAAAGTACGCCTTGTTGAATGTGTGTTGACTAAACAAAGCAATGACACGAAGAGGGAAATGTGGGTAGTTTATTGATTGGGTAATCATTCTTAGTGTCGTCTAAACATGCTTGATTGTTTGAAACGCAATGCATTTGTGCACCACCTTAGCAAGTCGGAAGATAAAACATTTTCTAAATGGATGGTGATTTTCATTAATTGTTTGAAATTTGATAAAATTAAATTAGTATGGTGTGAATAGAATGTAAGCATTTGTTTATAGTTTGTGGGAAGATGACATATATCAATTTTGGTGAGTTTTAAGTTGGCGGTTTAAAGGAAGGGGAAGAAGCACACGTGGCTATGTATGCAGAGAATGGCAATGTGGACTTGGGGTTTCAATTGCGAGTAAACATGGCTAGAAGGTGGTTTTATGAAGGTGTTGATTTTGGGGAATTATTTTGTTAATATTTCTCACAATTGGTTTTGCAATAATAGAAAACTGTTCAGTATTCAAAATTGATTTTTAAACATTTTTTTCAAAACACTGCAGGAGTAGTTATAATGTCTGTGCATTTTTAAGTTTTGATGTGAAAAAATTTAAAAAATATTCAAATAATAAAACTCTTGTATTTTCTTCCCTTCAAGTACCATATACTTGGGTTTGTGCAAGTGAAAGTGAATGGGTAAGGATAATGAAAAAATTATGAATTGGGTGGGTAAATGAGTTGGCTTGAGTTTCCATGTGCATTCATAATGGAGATCAATCAGGGAAGGTGAATGACAAAACAGGAAAAGAAATGATCGGGTGTTTTTGTAAAACTTCCATACAAATTCACAGTAGCCAAAATATTAAATGTTTTAAAATACGAAAAAATATGTTAAAGTGACCTATAAAATTAGGTCAATGTGATGTATGAATACACTCTTTCTAACATGGTGCCCATTAAAACATATGATTATTCTCCTAAGTTAAATAATGTTTACATGTGATCTATTATAATTATGATTGATTGTTAATAAGTGAATTTTTTTCCTTCTTGTAACTGTTTAAGAGTTTGTTTGAGAATTTTAAATTAAAGAAAATATTTTTCAAAATAAATAAGAGGAAAACGAACGGGAGATTAATAAATAATTATAATTTATTAAGTGCGGAAGAATAACTTGTTTATTTTTACTTATCTATTTTGCTTATTCACATGAACGTGAGTTTTTTGTAATTTTTTTTTCAACAGAGTAAAATAAAAGAAATTTATAAATTTCTGTTTGTATACATATTCTCATCATCTGATCTTAATTGTTTATGGATTTAAAATTGACTAAAAAACTATTTCTATAAAAATGGATCAACTTTGCAAAAAATATATATATCCAAAATATTCCATACCAACTCAAATTTTTTATTTTAAACAAAAAAAGCCTGAGCAAAGCACACAGGGTAGAAGCCTGTGAGGAGAAGATGGTGAGGAAAAACAGTGAAAGCGGTGTGACTTTGTGTGGCTTAAGTTTTCACCATAGCATGGTTTATTGTTGATGATGTTATTGATTTGATTATAATGGTAATTAAAATAAATTGTCCAGTTAAAATGTGGTTGATATGATAAGTATAAATATTTAATAAATAATTTTTTTTTTATTAAAAGACATATATTCAAATAATTTGACATTATTAATAACTAATTATATACTTAAACAATCTTCAAGAAACTTGTAGGAAATTTATTTCTAAAACAAATTTCACATCGTAAAGATTAAGTAGTAAAATATTTCATCGTTAAACTCCGTACTTTATAACATATTCTATTTATAAAGTTTGGAAGAAATTATTTTACTTAATAACTAAGCAAATAACTTGATTTTTCAAAGCAAACTCAAATTTACCTAACAGATTAAATAAGAGTGATAAAAAATATTATATATTAAAAAAAATAAAAAAAGAGAGTTTAGAAAGAAAGAATGTAATTAAAGACAAAAGAAAAATACTATGTTTCTTTATAATAAAAGAAATGCAAAACCAAGTAAATAGAAATTAAATAGTTTTTTAATGAATAAATTATAATACTCTAAAAAATCAACTATAGAGTATAATATTAGATAAAAATAATAAATTTTCTAACTTTCTCGGAAGTACATATACCTAAAACTCGGTAAATCTCACAGTATATATATTTTTCTTATGTCTTTTTCAGCTAAATCAGATAACAAATCACTGTTTATTCTTTCCAATCTCTCTCACTAACTCACAATTGGTTATTTCTTTCATTTTTCATCAATGACACATATGCTGTTAAAATAATATTAAAAAGTAATTAAGTAAAACAAACTAAGATTTTACATATGATAAGTTAGAAGTTCAAGTTCACTGAAAATGTTATTTGAGTTTAAGAATTTTTTATATTTTAAAATGAAGAATCGTTTTAAAATATTTATAATAAAAAAATATTATTGAGAAAGTTTATTTGTTATATCTCAACCCGCCGTTACAAATATCCTGATGTAGTTGGAAATCCAGTTAGATTAATGTCTTTTTTATTTTATATTTTGACATTATAAAAGTAAATTTTCAATGCTCAAAGATGCATAAATAGCTAACAAATGGGCCCTGATAACACATTGAGAGCATCACTACTTAGAAAGGACAAATTTACATCATTACACTCCCCCCTTACAATACACTTACATTTGAAATAACTTAAATTTTGATTAATTTGAATTGCAAATTGGTAACTTCAGAATCAATTCGAGTCAATTTTAAATTTTGATCGAATCAATTTAACACCCAAGATTATATTACAAATGAACTAATGCCAGATTATAAAATGGAAAAAGTTTTAAAATATATTTATGTATTAATTTTTTTTAAAAATCACATAATGTATATTTAATAACACATGTATAGAAAATAAAGAATTATTTTGTATTTTAAATATTTAAAACACTGCACGGTAACAAAAATATTTTTTATCCTTTTTTTTTTTCAAATTCGAAGGGATTATTTTATTTTCATTTTTCCCTTTGACTAACGCCTGAAACTGTGACCCCTGGGGTCACGAAATACATTCCAATTTTACCAAACAACACCTTTCCCAGAGAACTATTGTTTCACTAAACGGGCCATGAAAGTGTTCCGACCCGACCCGACTCGGTTTATAATTGCTCGAGAAAAAAAACCAAATAAATTGATCTAACCCTAAACAAAACCCTAGCGCCATTTTCTTGCTCGGTGGCAACAGCAGCAGCAGCAAGCAGCTCCATCGACAATGGTATGTTCCACTGAACGATGTCACGCTTCTTCTGAGAATTTATCTGACTTGGTTTGAATTGAATTGCAGGGAATCGACTTGAAGGCAGGAGGTAAGTCCAAGAAGACCAAGCGAACCGCACCCAAATCCAATGATATCTACCTCAAGCTTCTCGTCAAGGTGCCTTCTTCTATCTCTCCCACGTGTTGCTGTTACTCTCAACGAATATTTGGTTTTTGACATGCTTGTTCTCTGGTTCTATTTTCAGCTGTACCGTTTCCTTGTTCGGAGGACTGGAAGTAATTTCAATGCGGTAATCCTCAAGCGTCTTTTCATGAGCAAGGTCAACAAACCTCCTCTATCCCTGTCTAGATTGATTCGTTACATGAAGGGAAAGGTACCTATCTCTTTTCTTTATTATTCCGTTTATTGGGTATTTATTTGATAGAATAGGGAATTTATAACGTTGGAAATGATAGTTAAAATAATCATTGTTGTGGTTGCATTTTATTTACCTTGATTTGGCTAGGAGGATAAGATAGCCGTAGTTGTTGGTGTCGTGACCGATGACATTAGGGTATACCAAGTCCCTGCTCTGAAGGTAACTGCCCTGAGATTCACTGAAACTGCAAGAGCCAGAATTGAGAAGGCTGGTGGGGAATGTCTTACCTTTGATCAGCTCGCTCTTAGAGCTCCTTTGGGTCAGAACACGGTATGAGTTTTATTGTTACTCTTTGTCTGCTTATTGTAAACTGTTACTTGTTCTGTCAATTTTTTCTACTCTTAGTGGCTGTGATGCCTGCTTATGCAAACAAAACAGGAGAATGAATGAACTTAAATGTTAGTGTATGTTATCTTGTTGTAAAGGTTATATGCTTGTATTGGTCTTTTGCATTGGTGGTTTTTTTGTCCGAACAGGTAGCAATATTTCTGTTTTTGCATCTCCTGCAACTCTGCAAGTAGTTCTCAGTAGAATACAGTGTGTACTTGACCCTTGTAATGAGTTACATAGTTCAGACTTTCAGAGAGTGGTGTTGATTGTGCTACCTTATTGGCTATTTATCTTAGTAAATGTAATCAACTGGATGATAATGTATATGTAGTCTAGGATTTATTTGGCTTATATTTCATCTTGTTCATCTGGAGGACACGGATGATGCATAGTTTTGTTTGTTATCAAAGGTTCTTTTATGTGTTAACAACATAGCTGTTATACATTTTGTTTCTAGCTTGCATTATTCGTCCATCCACTTTCATACCAACCTAGCCTTGTAATTTAGATCAATTTAGTTAGTTGTTGTTTGGGGTTCTTCTAGATTTCTTGCTTTTCTATGTTAACTGGGGGTGGAAGAGGAAAATAATAAACGAAGGTTCATTTTTTCACTGCAGTAGGGGAAGTGTTTAAAAACGACACATCTCTCGGGAGTGACTGTTGTTTATTTTTGGAGCAATGTTTCAGGTTCTTCTTAGAGGCCCTAAGAATGCCCGTGAGGCTGTCAAGCACTTTGGACCAGCTCCTGGTGTGCCCCATAGCCACACCAAGCCCTATGTCCGTTCAAAGGGACGAAAGTTTGAGCGTGCCAGAGGAAGAAGGAACAGCAAAGGTTTTAGAGTTTGAGTTCTGGAGCTCAAACGTGAAGGGTCTTTCCTTACTTTATGATCATTCCATCATTCTGTATTGCTTTCTTCCTTTTTGTGTTTTTTGAACAAGTTATTAATTTTAGTTTATTTTTCTCTCTTTAAGTGAGAAAAATGACGCGCCCTCCCCGAAGAGTTTTGTTCTAGCACAAACTTTCTAATGAACTTTTTGAGAGAGCTTTTGTTATACCTAAGGTGTGATGGTGCCACTATTTCTTCTATTTTTTTGTTTTCTATCCCTGGATTTTAGCTGTCTTGCAAAAGAGGATTAAAAAGAAGGATAGCTGTTTAATTAGAGTGGGATTAAATTATTTGTTGTCGTCCTTCCTTTATATCCTGTATTTTGTTATGGGTTCCCATTACAAACCACAAACCATCCTTTATATCCATTTTTTGTGACCTTTACACTAATGAAAATGAATGGAATAAGGTAAGAATAGTAGAGAATAATATCTAATTTGTTGTTTTAGATTGTTTAAAATAAGACAGATATCCCGATGACTGGTTTGGTAAGATGAATCACGTTTTAAATCTGTTTGGGCAAGTGTTGTTGACATTTTGGTGTCACCACCGTCCCTCAAATGTTTTTTTGGTATAAATTGAGAATGTATTTTAATATATTACATATATTTGTTTTTCATTGAATATAAAACGCAAGTGGTTTGTGTTTTTAATTGTAAAAATAATGGTAAGTTTATTTTGCTTACTTTTCTACTATTCTATTTTCTTCTGTGTTACGTCTTCACAAACATAGAGTAGTCAATTATGTCTCGTTTTTGTTATCCGTTCAACGGCGTGAAAGTTTAGATCATGAACCGCAACTACACACTTTCGTTTTATCTTGCTGCCATTGTTAGAGCTTCTACTTTAACACATTATTACTGCTTCAAACGCTAGATATAAAGCTTCTAAGAAATTAACGATTACTGACGACGAATGAGGGACGGGACGAAATCTACCAATAGGTAGTTAAACGCGTTATTTTTAATTCTTGTATAAGCCAAATTAAGACAAAGAAATCCCTCGTGTTATGCCAGATATTGTGCGGACTTAAATTCATACAAGCTTGTTAAACAGTGCAATTCAAATGAGTATTTTAGGGATTATTAATGACTTCTATACGGTATAATTCTGAAGCATAATGCGGATTAAAATTTCTTGATGAAGTCGTATATATGTGCGCTGATTTCTTCTGGTCTTTCCTGATTTATAAAGTGAGCTACTCCTTCCATCACAACCAATTCTTGCAAGAATGGCACCTCTCTCTTAAAGCCACCATTATGTATATACTCCCTAACACCTGGAGTGTTATAAGTAATGTCAAGGTCTCCCACAATAAACTTGACCGGTACCTTGATCTGTACTCCAGTCCATGGTGCTGTGAGCTCCCAGGTTCTGCAGACAAAACATAATTTACCAGACTGAGACTACTACACACACACACACATCCTTTAACAAAATAAATCCGCAAAAACTTAATAATATCTTCGCAAATGAAAAAAAATCTATTCTGAATTTATTTTATTGGTATATGCATGCAGTATTACAACTAAGGTTCAAATACTTTGTCAAAAGTAACGTATAGCTGTAGGAAAGCGATTGCTAAACATGTCCCCTTTAACTCGTGCTAAATTGATAGTAAATGTTAATAATCATTGGGAACATTTTATTCATATTTAGTTCGAGCAAGGAGGTAGAATTGATTTGGGGTAACGTTTTGCTTCAAAGAAAAAATTAATTCTTACTAAAATAAACTTTTAGTTTTTGATTTACATTTACTGATTGCAGTAAGTATTAGCAACGTTTCCTAGAACGAACTAGAAGAAACTTACAGGTCCATAGCACGATAATAGTTTAGGCCGCCAGTGAAGCCTTTCTGGTCAAATTTGGTGGCATAATAGTTGACATCTTCTTCAGACAGCCACGAAGGTAAAGCAGTATTAAGTTTGGATGAACCTCCAAATCCTATCTCCTTAGGGACACTGGGTGGACGTGGATCACGAGAGCAAAGAAATGTCTTCATTATTCTTGCTGTTCCGGCACGGGCAAACTCTTCTTCAGCCTCCCCAGGTTGCTGCAGGACAACCAAATTACCCAATTGCTATATATTAACTTCACACATATCTCTTTGAAGCTTTCAACTACCATACAACAAATCTGTCTTTGGAACTTGTGAACCACATTGAACAGGACAAACATTGTTCCATCTAAATCAGAAATTTATTCAGAAGCTTGTGTTATGAAGCAACTGTTATTTTTAGATTCAATAAAGACAAGTTGAGAGGCAAGAGAGCACGCAAACACACAAGGGAAAATACGTAATATTGATTGGCTCATTGGCATTGTTGACTGAACACATTAACCATCTCATTCCATACTTGTTTCTCTTCTTTTCCCATCTCTTCTCGGGATATAAATTGCTGTAAGAATAACATTTCACTTTTCATGCATGTAACTTGACAAACCCAAATTTGACCTCTAATTGGTGCGAGGAACATGCATATCAGACTATCTATGAACGGCAAATAAACAAGCAATTTGGAGAATAGAGTGAATTGTTTACCTGAAACCTGCATATATAGTAATTATCACCCATCAAAGCCCTCAAGGTAGGAATGGGCTTTCTGGTAGGGTTCCTGGGACGGAAAACGACACTCATGTTGACCAAGGCCTTCACACGATCGGGCCTCAACAAGCAGAAATACCAGGCTATGGCAGCTCCCCAATCATGGCCCACCAAAAACACACGGTCTATGCCCAAACCATCCAGAAGCCCAACCAGGTCACCCACGATGTGGAGGGCGGAATAAGAAGAAGCGGAGGGCGGCGCGTCGGTGTCGCCGTAGCCGCGGAGGTCAGGGGCGATGGCCCGGTAGCCCATGGCGGAGAGATACAGAAGCTGATGACGCCACGTATACCATAGCTCAGGGAAGCCGTGAAGGAACAATACTACTGGGCCTGACCCAATTGATGCCACGTGCATGTTTATTCCATTGGTACTCACAATTTTGTGTTCTATTCTGTCCATCTTTTCTCCCATTTCTCTTTCTCAACTCTCAGCTTCAACTTTGATGACACCGTATCGCTCATGTTTGGATTGCTCTTTCTGATGTCGTTTTATTCGTGAAGTCAATTTTACTGTTACCAGGAATTTGGTAAGTTGAGAGTGGGAAGCGAATTTTGCCTTTCCCTTTTAAAAACAAAAGCGATGAGGAATGTCTCAATTCAATTAATTCTCCTTCTTTAGACAAAAATCAGAATTATTTCATCTGGGAAGATCCGATTCTTCCCTTTTTTCAAAATCTGATTCCAAATTTGCATTTACACCTTTGTCACACTTTCGGTCATTCACATTTGGATACTTCTTAGACCCATTACAGTTAATAATAATATAGATTTCGATTCCAAGCTTAGAGCTCAATCTACTTTTTCGGGTTTTAATTATTGACGGGCCAGCCCATTTATATCAGCTAATGGGGCAGCCCAAATTGATAGGCCCCACGAGTACACGACAGTGGCAGACTAGTAAACGAGGCACATGAACACGGCACTCTACTGACCGAAAAAAACAAAGAACACGGGCACTCCTACTGTCGTGAGGTGTGAAAATCTAGAAACACATTCATATTCTTCAATCTCATGATAATGATGTTATTACTTTTTGGCAATATCTCATAATGACATTACTAATGATAATTTTTCCCTTGATAATATACTTTTTATAAATGGGTGATATATATTGAATTGATTTTTCAATATATGCCTTTATGGTTAACACTTCCATTTTCTATAATTAGATTCGGATACACTATTCTAACATAAAAATAACTCTTGTTTACCAATGGGAATGATAACACGTGCTTTGCACATACATTCTACAAGTATTTAACACAGTATCTTGCAATGCCGAGCATTATAATAGTGTGTTATAAAACTATAGTGGGAATGGAATAATTGAGTTGGCTTTTTTTCAGTTAACAAAAGTGTAGTTTCGAATACGCCACGAAGCCACAGGGGATCTGAGAGCATGATGATGAATAACGAGTCGTGTTAGCAGCACATTTGCGGAGACCACGATTCCGATAAGCGCAGCATCTTTCATTAATTTTAATTTGGAGAATCGGAATCCAAAAAGCGTCTCACTTGACATTTGCTCCGTTCCTTTTTTACTTTATATTGTGTTTTTTGGCACTTTCTCATCCGAAGTCTAATAATGTATACGTATTTTGTTAAACGGATATATGTTTTGTTTCTGTCTGGAATCTCAAAATTATACAAAAGAAGTCAAGTGTTTTCCGTAAATTAGGACTTTCCAATCAAACGTGCATTGAATTGTCATAAACAACATTGTAGTCAGGGCAACTTGAGTGGCAGCAATGCATATTACGCTTGAATATAATGATAGACCTGCTACAATGTTATATTCCCATAGATTCCAACCTGTTCCCATTGGACGATCCTGTTGTCTATATTTTATTGTACTAAGCAGAGGAGTATCCACAACTGTCACATAATTTAGTATAGTTTGGCTTGTTATATTTTGGAACTACGTTTTTTGTTTTAAATTCCAAGTACTCTGTTTCAAAAAGTGATATTCAAAATTACAAAAGTAAAAAAAATAATATAATTTAGAGTAAGAAAAAGTAAAATTATGTTATATATTTGTTTCAAATATCTATTGTGCTGATCCTAGTAAAATTTATTCTTATTTTAAATATTAATTATAAAAGTAATCTGCCTATGATATAAAATTAAAGGTAATTCCAGTCGTTAACATAGGACAATTGGGTGGCAAAATGTGCAGGAGATTAAGGTGACTATAGCTTGTTGGCATTTTGTATTGATATAAAACCACTTGAATAGAACGGGGACAAGTGCGGTGTCACACCACTACCTTAACTTCACCAAGACTCATGTACTGGATGGAGCAAGGAGAGCGTTTTTGTCACTATGCAGTAAGAGGCATAGGGTGTATTTGACTAGGATTAGCACAATAGATATTTGAATGTGGTGCTGGATTATTCTTGAGTTTAAAATCATGAGTTTAATTAGTACCACTTATGCTTCGTTATCCGTAGTTATTCACATGTTGGTTGTTTGAAAACAACCAAGTTGTTCGAAAATTTCGGGAATGTCCCTGCGCTGCACATTTGTTGTTTTTTCTAGGAACAAGTTGTGCTCCTTTCACTGCCTTTTCTATTCTTTTCCCATTTCTTGACTTGTTTTGCATCTTTCTTCTCTTTAAATAACAAATAAAGCGATGGAGATTTGGTTCAAATTTCTATCCGAAAGACAATAAACAATATGAACGCTTTCTCAGTTTTCATATTTGTTTAATCAGGCCCTGCGATTTTACAGGCTGCAATTCCTATGGCATGCATCGGATTGCAGGAAAAGAACCAATCAAACAAGACTACGAGCCTGTGAAAGTGAGAGCGAGAAAAATGTCAATCTTACTGGATTAGAGGCCCAAGTGGTAGTACTCTGTTTCAACTTTCAAGTGGATTAGTGGCATATCGGCCAAATAATCACACCCTATGGCTTTGCAGATCCTTTTTCTTTTTCCTAATAAGACATGCACGAAAATCAATGTTTATTTCTCAACTCTAGAGTGCGTGGGATGCATAGATTGCGACGTATGTGAGATGCCATTTAATCTAATCAATCGACATGCTTAGTGACACAAAAATTGGTTCCTTATCTTCGCAGCATAAAACTTTCCAAATTAAAAGTAAATAAATGAAAGTAGCTCACAAAAGAGACAGCCAGTGCTTTACATCGCATGAATTGGGTATATGCGACATTATTTAATACGTCCAGGAGGCCCTAACACTTCCTGATTGAATTGAAGATTGCGGGAAATTAATATTCACTAATTCAACTAATTACTTGTTATTATTTTACAAATGAAAATATTGACGATTATAACTCCAAATGAAGGTGAGCTTAATTTCATTTTATTTTATTTTTGGGTGAACAGATGTTGCAGAAAGAGGAAAGCAATCCCCGCGAACATCGCTAAAAGGGGAACATGTAGGGTACGTACATTCAACAAAATGGAATCCGTACCATAACCTTGATTAATGCATGGCTATATTGTTTTTCTCTCTTATTTTATGACAATTGCTAATGCGTGTGATGATCACGAGTTAAAAAAAATTTATTCTTTAGCTAGAAAAATAGAAAACAAAAGTAAATATAGTATTATAATAAGTAATTACGAGTATCCCAAATAGGCAAATATATATATGATGAAGGATTTTGTTTGAGTTACAATACATGAGACAACAAGATTTAAATTAAAATAAATAAAAAATAGAAACCCTGGCGCTGCGTCACGGGTGACACCTTAATTTAGAAAGACTAATATTCTGGTAAAACATGGTATATTTAATTATCTTTGGGAAGTGTTGTTAGGAATTAGGACACGCATCATGGTGAGGATCCTAACCCGTAACCATGTCTCTTTCAGAAGATGCCAAAAGAGAAAGTTAACGAATTACTGCACGAGAACGTGAAAAAAAGAAATTAGAAAAGACGGTTGGTAACAGTGGCGAGAAATGAAGAAAATGATACGAAAGTGAAAGTGTGTGGCAGATAATCCAAAATGAGATAAAAATCCTAAAGAAGGTGTTGGTAAGAATATAAAGATAAAAAGTAATGAGTAATGAGTGATGAGTGTTTCCTCATATTATATAATCACAGATAGATGTGATCCAAATAAAAATCCTTCCAATTCCTTTTGCATTCTATAGCCTCTTTGCTTGCCCCCACTAGCATTACTCTCTTTGCCTTTTCTGAATCCATCATGATTATGGACCCTGACGTTGAATCAAAGTATGCCCACAACGCCAAGGTCATGGTGGGCACTGCCATTCTTCTCTTCATAATCATACTCCTTATTGTTTTCTTACACGCCTATCTCCGCTTCTGCCGCCGTCGCCGTCGCCGTCTTCCCTCTCCTTCGCTTCCCACTAATTCCTCTTTCAACCACCCATCCCTTCACCCCTCCGTTCTCAAATCCCTTCCCACGTTCACTTTCTCGGCCGCCACCCACCGCGCTCTTCACGACTGCGCCGTGTGCTTGTCGGAGTTCGCTGACGGCGACGAAGGGCGCGTGCTTCCAAACTGCAACCACGCTTTCCACTCTCATTGCATCGACACGTGGTTCGTCTCTCACTCGAACTGTCCTCTCTGCCGAACCCTGGTTCAACCGGCGACGGCTTGCTCTGGCGCTGAACCGGGTTCTGTTTCGGTTTTAGAAGCGGGGGAGGGTTCTTGCTCCTCGTCTTTGCCTGCACCCATAGGGTGTCCGAGAAAGCCGTTGCATATAATCGTGGAGCAACCCGAGGTGGAAAGAGAGTCGGATCCTGTAACCGGAGATCAAGGGTTGAGATGGTCCTTGAAGAGGTTTTGCAGCGTCTAAGTGATATGGCTTATGAGTCATGTAGAGTCTCCTCAAGGTAATTCATGATATCACATGGGCATTCATCTTTGCTGAAAATAAGGAAAAATATGTTACTTAGATGAATTATCGCTCTTAGTACAGATCTTTCTTTCCACTTTCTATCTGTAGAATTCCAACTCTCAATCTCAGCTGTATGCTTGGACGCAAGTTCATGTACCGCAATGGTAATTTTATAAATTTTTACCTGTTTAGTTATGGTAAAAGAAAATATATTTCGTTAGAAGTAAAATAATATATTTTTGATATAGTTCAAAATTTATTTCCCTTCAAATTTAATTTCAATTAACTTATTATTGAAAATTAAGTTTGCAAATGAAATTGAAACTTGTGTTTATTAGTTGCATACATTTTTAGGGCACATAATAAAAGAATTCAACTTGGGGGTTTGTATTCTAGTAGGGCAGGGATGGGCATGGCAGTGAATATATTTTTTTTAGGGGGGTTCAAATAAGGCGGTGAATAGATACAACTTAGTCAGTTTAGGCATTTTTGAGATGGGCACCTGGTTAAGACTTGTTGGATCCAATTTGACCAAAGCTATTAAGTTAGTATTCTCAAAATAGTGAATGGGTGGAGCATACAGGAATTGTGAGCTTTGTTTGCTAAAATTAATAAAGCCACGATAGCAGAAGCTGTGGAAATGTAAGTGGTAATTTTGGATTTGCTGGTAAATGAAACCAGGATGCAACTCGTGCTAAGCATGTTCAATCACTCTTTAAGGTATAAGGCAGGCATCCTTTAAACCTATTCAATCATTCTTTTCAATTATTTTTTCCCTTAAATCTAATAATTCAATATATTATTATGTTACGGTTCCAGGAACACAAATGCATTAACAAAAAGTACGTAAGATATGTAAATAAATATACTCCACAAATATTCATTAAATATTGGAGTTATCAATTACTCGTAAATTATCTACATTTCTTCTACGTCTTTCTCGTTCTATATACTGAGATTTCATTGGATGTTGTCCCATTTATTCTCCTTCTTGTTTGCTACTGAAAGCACACTCCTTCAAGGTGTCATATATTTCGTCCATACTATCTTGTCTTTTCATCTTTAGAAGGCACTGAGCACTAAATTTTCAAAGCATGTAAACTGATCTAACCAAACGAGGTATGAGATTACTAATTCACTACTTTATAAAATCTTCAATTGGTGAATATAAGAAAGCTGAGAAAGCTAATTCAAAATCACTTCAGTTTGACAGAATTTTCCTTGAGGTATTGGCACACCTGAAATAGGTATCTATCAAACGTAGCAGTAATGTACTGATAGTGTGATGATGTACTTTTAAACCCTGGTATTTTTTTTCATACCCTGCTTCGCTACTTTCATGCATGCTATTTTCTGCATCTAATTCACTTATTCTACTTGGAAATATCTATTTCATACCGTATAAGTCTACATCGATCTATATTTTTTTATTCAATTATAGGCTTATGTTTCTACCAAGTAGGCTACAATTTCTATAGGCTTGTTCTTTTTTTATGATTTTCCTTGGTAGCTTTGGTTTAAATGTTTATTTGCCAGTGCCCACTTCTATCATAGAGCTGTAGTCAAGAGTTTTATAAATATTAAGCACGCTACACCTCTTTTGCCTATTTGTTTAAGTTATTTGCTTAAAAGTTTTTCTTTTGGATGATTTTGATTAGTGCTTTTGTTATGAAGCCTAAGATTTTACATTTTTCAACTCTTATTATGATATAGGCGATCTTAAGGATTTTGGTTGTGGTATTACACACGTAACAAATTTGACAAATTTAGAGATGGGGCATGTTTAAAACTCTTAATTGAGGCAGAAAAGAACCAATCGTTCCCAAACTTACACAAAGCAACAAAGAAGGAACGGGAAAAAGGAAGTAAAAAGAAGGGGAAAAGAAAGAAAAGAAAAATAAAATGACGAGATATGAAGAGAAGTGAAAAGATGGAATTAAAAACAAACCTATTATTTATAGAGCAGAGAACTGACACGTTTGATTTGGATGTGATGTTATTGTGTTTTGATAAATTGGGAGAGTTACGGACTCAAAGGTTGATGCCATGGGCCTTGTTCTATATATAAATAAGCGTTGTTAATATTTTCTTTCTTCCTGCGTTAGTTCCATGAAGTTTGTTCATTAGCGGTGTTTCTAGGCTAACGTTATTGTCACATTTTTTTTGGAGTGTGAAATGTAAAAAGAGATAAAAGAAAAGAAAAAGTAATTAATAGAGATAACGAGTGATATAATAAATACAAAGAAAATTTAAAAATTAAAACATGGGCTTCAGTTATATTGAGTCAGAGAAGTCCTATATATCTATATTGAGTTTTTTATATATAGCTTTTAGAATGACCTATAATTTTTATTTTAAATGTGTGTGCGTGTTCATTATTAAATCATTTGTTTCCAAAGGATGAATACAACGAAATTGGGCTTTTTCCTACCTAAATCCCGTAAAATGAGAAGGGCGTTCAAAAGCTGGGCAAATAGAATCGGTAAACTCCTAAAATTAGCATTGAAATGGCAAAATAAACGGACAGGAAGCGCATTCATTAAGTTTATAAACCCCTTAACCCTCTCCATAGTTTCGTCGTGGCTGTGCAGTTGGTAGAACCAAACCCCGAGAAGAATTAAATAAAAGAAAATAAAATAAATAAAGCGTTCTTAGTTGAAGAAAAAATGGAAGGCGTTGCAAAGCTCTTCTCGGTGGTTGCAATCTGCATGTTGGTAATGGCGCAGCAGACAACAGCCGCAGAAGAATGCAGAGGAAAGGAGCTGATCAACAAGGTATGCCAAAAGTCCGACTCAAAGGATCTTTGCACTGAGGTCCTTTCATCCGACCCAATTAGAAGCCCAAACGCAAACCTTAAAGACTTGGCAATTATATCCCTCAAAATCGCTGCCAGAAACGCTTCTAGCATTCTCAACGACGCTAAGATGCTCATCGACGATGCCAACTTGGACCCAGACGTTCAACAAGGCTTGGCTGATTGCAAGGAAAACATCTTGGACGCTGAGAGTCAACTCGAAGACACCATTGCTGCATTGTTGGTTGGATCTGATGCTGATGCTCAGGTTTGGCTCAAAGCTGCTTTGGCTGCTATAACCACCTGCGACGATTCCATCCCGGGAGACGATGATATTCTTTCCGTTAAGAGTCATGTCTTCCGCAAATTGTGCAACATTGCCGTCGCCATCAGCATGCTTATGGGAAAGTCCTCCTAAATTTCCTATATTATGATATAACTGCTTTCTTCGTTTCCCAGTTTTTTTCTTATTATTACTGTCGTCTATTTTGTTACCTGCAAAAGGAGGGCTGGCGATATGAGAGAGGGATCAACGAAACAAACAACCCAAATTATTCTGTTGCTGTAAGATTTGGAAGTGTCTTGCTCTTTGTTCATAGTGAATCCTTCTTTTGAATTTTGTTTTTGTTGCAAGTTTCCATTGGCAAAGGTCAATCTGGATAATCTCTCTGTTATTTAATTTCTTCCATTTCTTTTTTTGGGAAATCCTGTCTGATGTGAACACACCTCCAATGTTGGGAATCATAACAAAATACGCAAGTCATTTAATGTTAATCGACACAAAAGTTAATTTTGTTTGAATCAATGGAGTCAGTTTTTTCTATTTTATTTTATTTTTAATTTTCTTAAAACAACTTTTTTCACCATTTAAAATATTCATTTTTTTTATGAAACAATAACTTTTAAATAAAAATTTATTAGTTTTAATTATTCAAAATTAAATATAAATATTGAATTCAATATTTTTATATTTATTTTTTATTCTTTTATTTGTTTATTCATAGTAATTCATTTATCTCCTATATAATTAATTAGAAAGCAATTCTAATATATTTTACCAATCAGGATGTGTAATATAATATAAGACTATTTGTTCCCCTCTCATTAGATATAATTTTGAAACGTTTACAAGTAAATAATTGACTTGCGTCCCTATTTCAGAATGAATGATGCTCTTAGTCAAATTTTTGCGACAACTTTTACAATAAAGAGAGATAAAAAAAGTGTAAAATATAAGATAAATTTTAGAAAAAAAAGAAAGATAAAAAATATGTTATAAAAAGTTCAGTAAAATTATTATGAAATATCAATATTCTTTTTAGCATTCTTCATCGAAACTTCATTAGCCGGCGAATTTCATGATTACTTTTGAATTGGACCAGTTCCGCCATATATACTTAATGCATATTTGTCGGACAGACTTTTTTTTTTTTTTTAAATTACAGAAATATGAATTTTTTTTTGCCAGTGACGAAAATTGTTAGGGCCGACTTTTGATACTTTGTGAAAAATTGTTATCAGCAAGTTTGAATTTTTATTTTTTTTAAGAATAATTTTTGAGACTTTTTTTAAAAAAAAATTCTGTACTTACATAGTAAAACACCATATTTCAGTATATATTATTTTTAAATATTATATATAAAAAATCCACTTTTTACATTGTTTTTATATGTTGTTGAGGTTAAATTTTTTATATTTATGTAGTTTAATAAAAATGTGTACCATTTATATGACAATTTCGTGAATCACATGAATAATTAAATTAGTTTATTGCTAAAAAAAAAGTGTAATACCATTATGAGATTTTTTTATTTAAAAATTGTGAAAAAATGTTACGTGATTGGAAGAAATGGCTATTATATGACTATGTATTTAATTTATATTATTATTGTCAAATAAATATTTCTTTAAAATAATCGTTTTTAAACAAGTTTTGAATGACTAAAAATATTAAACCTGCATTGTCAAAATTCACTTAATATTAAAGTTTAGCTATATGTAACTTCAATCACTGCCATGGAGTCAATGAGATAATTATTTTTAACTATTCCATCTGATAAAAAAACAGGCACGTCTTTCGTGCCTGTTTGTCAAAAAGAAACGTCCACACGGCAACGAAAAAGCCTATTTCTTAAAGTTGGAAGAAGTCAAAATCAGCGGTGGATACAGTAAATAGTCACAAACTGATTAAACATTAAACAATTGTAAATGGGATAGAAACCAATATAATATTTGCTTTACAACAAAATCACAATAATTTAATGAAACAATTAACAATATGCTTTTAACATTTGGCAGGGGTGAGGTATTAGTAAATTAGATCGTAGTGCTGGCGATGGGCAGCTTATTCTTTTAAGGAGACAAAAAATACCAAAAGAAAAGAACAAAGTAAATGTGTGAATGGAAATGCAATATTAGATCTTCTATATCAAGTTATTGGTGTAAGCCACTCCTGTCTGGGGCAACCAATCATCACCAAGCAAGAAACTGGACACTGTAAAGTTAGCTGCATCGGTGGCATTAATCAAATGGTAACCGGGCCACGTCACTCTATTACCAGTGTTGGATCCTGGTCCACTGTTGTTGAACTCTGCGTAATACAAAGTGCTCAATGCAAAATTACCATCCCATTCACGCCACCCAGCAGCGTTGACCACACTGTCCATCAAAGTTTGCATATAAATCGTTCTCGAATACTCCTTCCATGGCCTTCCCAAATACGTTTCAGCAGCACCGTTACTAGCAGCTAAGTCATCAGCTGCTCTAATGGTACAGTTGTGGATAGAAATACCCGTGTCTTGATTCGGGTCGGTTCTACCTTGTGCGGTTATGGCGTTGAATTGACCACTCATGGGGAGACGAGGATACATGTTGCAACTTTGGAATACGACCTTAGCGTTTCCGAATATGAAATCTACTGTACCGTAGATGTCACATTCCCTGTAGAATTGTCTTAGGGAATGTACGTATAATGTGTCTTGGTACCCCTCGAACCTACAACTGTAAAACGTGGACAAATCTGCTCCGTTTCGAATTGCTACTGCTTGGTGCTTTGCTGCCCCCGCAGTGTTACGGATTGTCATATTCACACCCACGAATCCTTGACCAACTACCGCTGTAACATCGATGACATAGTTGTCAGTATCAGAAACTTGTGAACTCATAATTGAGACGACAAAAACCTGTCTCGTGTCGTCTTTAGATGTATTTATGATGATATACCTTATTTAAAATAAGAATTGTCCCTACATAAAATCTTATTTCATCATGAGGATGTTTTTCTTGTTTTATTAGTAAATGACTAATCCCCGTGCAAGATGAAATGGGTCAAGTTAAAAATGATTTTTTTAGAAACTATAATTAATATATGTTTCATATACTAGTCAACAAAAATAATAATTAAAATTATATATTTATTATATTTGAAATATAAACATCGGGGGATAAAATTAAAAGATATTTTTTAAAATTGAGTAAAATTTTGAATTGTAAAACGTAATAATTAAAATATGCGATAAAATTAATTTTAGTTATAATTTTTTATTGTGATTATAGTTGAAGAGTTGTTATTACCGAAAGTTGCGGAGCTGAAGGTAGTCCACCCATCGATGACGCTACGGTTGCCGGTGATAATTGTTTTGTTGATACCATCTCCGATCATCATCAAGTACGTCTTCCTCTTATCAATGGACACATATTCCTCATAAACACCGGCAGTTACATAGATAAGGAAGTACCCATCGGTGGAGACAGATTTGTTAGGAGCTGCGGCAATGGCGTCGTTGATTGTGGTGAAGTTTCCACTTCCATCTTGGCTCACCGTCACAACATCTCTCACCAAAACCTGGTTACCCACCGAGCTCTGAAGGAGCTTTCTTCTACTCACAGACTCGTAGATCGCGCGGGTTCTGCTAGACATCTTAAGCGGCAAACGCCCGTTTCGGAATCCAAGTTGTTTCGTGGTTGGGTGATTTGCATTGGTTTTGGTTTTGGGAACCCAACCTTTAGTGAATAGCGCGAGAGAGACACTGTAGAGCTTGGTGTCATTGGAAAGTGGGACAGTGAGTCCATTTCTGACTCTCCAAGCTGAAGCGGTGTCTGTGAGGCCATCCAAACACGTTTGTTGGTTGGTGAGAATGGCACTGAGTAAGGTTTGGATATCGTCAGCTTGAAAACTAGGAAGAAACCTCGTTGTTTTGTTCACTGTTTGGAAAGAACTCGAAAGGAAATCGAAGTTGAGTTCCCCAAGAGTACGGCAATCTTGGAGCGCACGAATTGCTGTGGCGGATAGAGTAGAGCGGCCAGCGAGATATTTATCAATAAGGTTCAAGAACTTGCGAGCCTGTGAGAGTGATTGTTTCACGGAGAACCTTCCATAATCGTAAACGTTGCCGTTTCGGGGAGGGAGAACGGATTTGCAATAGGATGGGTCTGGGGTGGATTTGCATGCGGTTCCGGGAGAGACTGGAGTGGTGGGATTGGGAACGGTGTCTGCGAAAGATATGGAGACAAATAAGGGTAGGAGAACGAGAAATGTTAACATTGTTGAGAGGGAATAGGAAAGCTTGGAAGCCATGTTGGTGTTGGTATGATAAAGATTGAGTAATGATGTTAATTTGTGTGTTGAGTGTTAGTGATTTGGAAACTTGGTTAGTGCGATTCAATTTATAGGAGGAGAAGGGCTAAATTTTTCACGAGCGATCTGTGATAATTTACATGTTTACGGCTGCAAAAGGTTGACTTGGCCATTATGTAGAGAGAGTTAACAATTAAGATTAATTGAATAGTCAATCAATGTAGACTTTGTCCATTGCACATCCAACAAATGAGACGTCTTGGAAATTGGAACTATTGGATATCCCACTAGGATTTTCTAATTAATTAGATCTGTCTATTTCTCTAAAGTGTTCATTGGGTGGGGATATGTTTATTTTGGTTAATTGGAGACACTACCCAACCCATTGCCCTGCTCTGTTTCAAAGATTACAAATCTTACTATCATTTGTAAATAAGATATCAGAAAGTTTATAATATGTAATCTATAACGGATATATATGGTTAAAAACTTTTAGTTTGTAGTTGAAATTCTATATCTTGTACTTATTTAATTAAATTAATTATACATTTAATTAAAATATGTTACAATATTAAAAAAAGAGTTAAAGTTATTCTTTGTGAATATAAATCATGTAAATAATTAAGATTAAAATGAAAATATTAATATCTAAATTGTAATAAGTTAAATATTACTTGAAATATTTTTTTATAAGTTAACCTTCAAATCTACTTTCTTTTATTTTTTTTAAGCAATTATACATACTTCTTAACAAAAAAAATTTACAAACTTTTGAATAAGCTATTAACTTTCTTACTGTTTTGATATTGAATTATTTAAAAATTGATATCACAAGTAATATTATGTATAATTAATTTTTTATGTAACATACCAAAAATATTCTTCACAGTTAAATGAAATAACTTTTAGTTATTTTTTTGGTTTTCCACTAAACATTTTTTATTCTCTTATATTTCAAATTCCGTATAAAATTTCATAAATAAACTTTGTATTTATTTTTAAATAAGAATTAATTAAATGAAGTTCTATAACATTTCATAGAATTTGAGTTTAAAAAATTGTATACGATATCCATCACGTCATATTCTCTCACAATTCTCTGCAGTTTTTTAATATTTTAATTAACAGAACAATTTGATATTTCTCACTATATAATTTAATTATACTCTCTATCTAATAAATATTACGTAAAAAAATACCCAAAAAAAAAAAAGCTAAACAAAGTGCTATTATTACTCCACGGTCAAACAATGAAAAAAATGTTAAATGTGTTAATAAGAATACCTAGCATACGTACGTTGTCATCTACAGTGAACATTAAATCTGACAATTGAGTAAAATTAAATTTAACTAATGAGTATTTCAGTATCGTATGAGTGTTTATACAATATATAAATATTCATAATATAGATAAGATGTTAAAAGTGAATCTACAAAATACGAAAAAAATTTGTCGAATTTGTAAGATATTAATTTATTAAAAATTTTAAATATGAAATAAATATAAAAATATATACATTTAAAAAAATTATTTGAGAAGATTAAAAGTAATTTAATTAATAGTCTATTATTCTAATAATAATATACAAATATTTAAATAATAACTTATAACTCTCATCAATTTTATTCAATTTATTTTAATAATTTTTTGTATAATTTATCAAAATACACACTTTTTAATTTATTTTTGAAAATATTAAAAACAAAATTATAAAATAAAATTTTAAACTAGAAAAATATTAACAAGGATTTAGCTAAACACTATTCTCACACACACCGTAAATACTTACTATTGTGATGTGTGGTAGTGATTCTTGCATACATAAAGCACACTAGAATGCCAGTAAATAAAAGACTCAAAACACATTAAAATGATTTTAAAAAATTGTTAGCTTTAGATATAAATTAAATTTGGATAATTAATAATGATATTATTTTATTAAAATAGTTTCATTAGGCTTTTATATTTTAAATACGATAAATATTTTTAATGAAAATGTTAATTTCAAATATTTAAATTTAATATTAAATCAAAATACTAAAATAATAATAATAAAAAGTAACAAGACTCGTAATGGAAATTATGGTTAATTATATTTATAGACACTTGCCATACATTTTATAAACTATTTAAGAGATTGTGAAAAGAAAAGTGGAAGCCAGCGGATACAGGGGAGCCCTGCTTTTGATGCCTAACTGTTTGAAAATATGGCAGACAAGACAAATATATTAATAGAAAGAGGACATGAGAATTCTGAATTTCATTGAAATGAGAGATACAAAGTCATTGTCTGACTTAAATAAATCAAAGTTTACAACTAGCTAGTATAGCTACTAATCTGATGGCTAATTCAAATATTTTTTTAACAAATGCTCATCAAACTCTAATCATAACTCAGCAAATGCATGAAGAAAGAGGACTGCATGCATTATTGGTTAATATGTGGAGCTTTAGGTGATTGATATTTGATAGGTGGCGACTCGTTTGGAAAGTAAGCAAATTAGATCCGAAGAGTGTCTACTTTTGACCTTAGCGTAACGCGCACTCTGATCTGAAGATTTGTATATTAACGATTTGGTGCATATGTAGAGACGGTGCATGGCCCTACACGCTACTGATATTCTTTAGTTTCAATATCTGCCAAATTTAGGAAGCTGGGATCAAACAACAATGGCTCACAAGACTCAAAAGTCAAAACCGTTAAGGCTTCACTACAGGATATACATACATACATACATATATATGCCATTTGTTTGAAAAATTAGACACTCCCTGCCCCTGCTGCAACCTTTGGCTTTGGATTTTGAATGCAACGCGTAAGGAGTTTTTCTATTTTGCAATTGGTTTCAGAGAACAAATAAAAATTTAGTCATAGAATATTGCACGTGAAATAATAATTATGTGGGGTTTTACTTGTAGAATTTTCTTAGAAATGTAAACATTAAATTACTAATTGATTTTGCAAACACCGTCACCGTGAATGCATTTATTCTCTGTTTTATACAAACGGTTCCCTCCGAGTTATTTTTTCATTTAGTCCCCGTTAATCTCTCAATTTTGTTGGACCAAATAAACAAATTGTGATATTTATGAGGAGGATTTATTAAAAAAATCATAATATTTAAAACGATCAACATTAAAATCTCATAATATTTACATGATCCAAATAAAAACTAAAAATCGCAAGAGGATCATGTAAAAAAATATATTTACATTAAAAAAATAGAGGCATGTTATATGAATGATATAATATTTCAATAGCATTTATATATTTAATATTAATAAATTTATATGTTCATATAATGTATTGTATTATAAATAAAAATCCTTAATATTTATATTATTTATCTTAATTTTTAAATAAAAAAGCATACTAAGAATTAAAAAAAACTTGGTATATATATATATATTATTTATTTTTTTCACCAAGAGTGATACTTTGTCTAAATACGCGTTGTTGACTGTTTTGGGCTGCATCGACCAAGTTCCCACGCCTCTTCAAAAAACTAGGTGCATGTTTAAAAATGATAATTTTTAAAAACATAATTATTTATTCTTGAAAATTATCTTAATATTCCTAACTGTAGTTTATGAATTATGATTTCAATTTCGTTATATATATATAATCTCTTCGTATCTCATTTTGAATGTTCATGAAACATTTTGCTTATGATTTTATCATAGGACTACGTAGTTTATGGATTGGTTTTTTAGTTAAAAGTCAAAATCGGTCATTATAAAATGATTAATATGTACGGTTGCTGACGGGCGGAAGGAATTTGCCTTTATCAAGATCCAATGCAAGTCAAAGAAGCATGTCATATTCACACCCAAGCTAGCAAATTCAATGGATTATAAAATAAGATCAATATTACATTATCAATTATCGAGATCAATTTTAATACTAATTCAATTCATTATTAAATTAAAAAATTATTAAATTCTAATAATAGTTTAAAAGATATTATATAATTATTAAATATTAATAAAGTTTAAATAAGCGATTAACAATGAATAAGAACATAGATCATAAGAATAAAAATAGATGAAACCTTGAGAAACAATATAGCTAAGTAAAGTCAGATGGCTCAAGTTGATTCATAAATAGAATCACTTAGTAGCTCTATACTTTTTTTGTCGTCTTTCTTTTTTCCCATTGTTGTTAACTCATTCTTTAATTATTATCTTATGTTTATGGGGTGATATTTTAGAAATTTAAATACTCACCGTTATTATTTTTTAATAGATGCACTTGTGCATACCATGTGTCATAAGATATTAATTATAGAATGAAAATTGATAAAATTTTACGAACGAAGATTACACAATTTTATTATAATTTTTATTACAATTATGCTGTAATTATATATTTATATATATATATATATATATATATATATATATATGTGTGTGTGTGTGTATAATTTTTAACTGATGCTTTTAAAAGTTCATGTAGTTTTAATAACTTTAATCAAAGAAAAAATTTGTAAGTAATTGAAAGCACTTAATGAAATGTAGGACTGTTCGACAATCTATCCGAAATGTTAAATTGATAAAAAAAAAATTAATAAAAATAAATAAACAAACAAAACATATATATTATATAATTTGATTTTCTATTTTTTTACGATGAAAATTAAAATAAATTAAAGCATAAATACACTATTTTTTTTTCTTAATTTCCTTATCATATCTTAATACAGTGCTAACTTAAAAATATATTTTGTTAAATATATTTATATTTTTAAAAAATGATTGTTTTGACTCGTGATTTGCAATTTAAACAAAATTTTAAATTATAATAAAAATATGTATTGTATTTTTATAAATTTAATACAATAAATTTATATTTTTTATAAATTTTTTCTATTTATAAATGTTTAAATTCAACTCTAAAAATTGAAGTTAACAAAATCTTTTTTATTATGTATTTGAATTTAAATAAAAATTAATTAAAAGGCACAAAAAATATAATTTTTTTACATTGTTATTTGATTAT